AACCTCATGAACCTCATAGTCTTTACCTTGCCTATTATCTTTTTTAATGTCTTCTCAATTGACCTTGAATCCAATGTCGTGCTATTTTTGTTCCTGCAGAGGACCATGTGACACTGGAGCTGAGCGTTTTTTCGTCAGTGTCCGACATAAAGTTTATAAGTTCAACTTTCAGCTTTTACGATTGCACCGGACACACCTCGTAAGTAAGGTTACATCCGGGGGGCTAGGCTCATCAGTCTTCAGTCTTCAGTGGTTGACTTCCTATAGTAGCTCTCTGAGCTAAACTGGAAGGGTGACTGTGACCTCACGGTCGGTGCGGTGCTAACAAATATGGTGCTTTACGTCAAAACTATAAGTGCGAGTTAAAAAAGAAATGATGCAGACTGGCTTAGAGAGTCCTCTGGCTGGCTGGCGACATAGCACTGATGTTGTTTAGTGCTATGGGCTTGTAGGCACAGATGGAGGGTGCACACGCGGTTGCTTCTGGAAGTCTGTTCCATATCCTGATGGTTCTCGGATAGAAAGAGTAGGCGTAGGCATCGACATTGGAGCATGGTTGTTGGTAGCATAGGGAATGGTTACGACGGGTGGAGGATGATATGTGCTGGAAGTGTGGTGGAAAGTTGATGTTGACTAGTTGGTGGTGGATTTTGTAAAACGTAACTGACTGGTTGAGGAGACGTCTGGTTTGGAGGCTGTCCCATTCAAGCTTTTGTATCATTGGTGTGACAGAAGTCTTGGAATACAAAGCGGGCGCCCTGGCGCTGGATGTTTTCAAGGCGCTTCACGTCTTTGTTGATATGAGGGTTCCAGGCTTCGCTTCCGTACTCAAATGGGCTCCCCAAAAAAGACTTAATAATAATAATAATAATAATTACAATAATAATAATAAAAGCCAGAGAGTGAAGATGAATGTTTTACACTTGTTGTTGTTGTCTACTCATTCCTTTTCCCTGTACAGATTCACTAAGCGCTAATAAAAAGAAAGAAAATAATAAAACTACTTTTTAATATATTTATGTTTGCAGTTGTACCGCATGTGTCTCTAGTCCATGGAACTGCGATTGGTGTATTTATGACAACATCTGCACCCACATGAGTGCTGAGTGTACGGAAGGGAACTACATCGTTATGGGAAACAACGTTAGTCAAACATTCGTGTCTAATGCACCCATATTCCAATATTTTCGTAATGGCAATTTAATTCCACACGTAACTCGCGTAACGTTACAATGGGATCTTCCATCAGTAATTCCATAGCGTCAAAGTATTAGGGTGGATTTTCTCACAGAATATCCCTTGAAGTTATGTAACTATTAAATACAAACAAGATGCCACCAAAATAAATTTTACGTTGGTTTTGCAAGCCTGAAGTTTTTGTTATCGGTAAATCGCGTTACCAATAATGAAATCTCTAAAGGGATATACGATACATTTGTATATAGGTAACTCGTGTTACGGTAACTTGCGTAACAGTTTGTCCGCCCATCTTGGGTATAAGTTATATGAGAAACTAATTATCCAACCAAAATCCTCTTCGGGCATAGAATATGAACTTTCTCTCCCTGCCGATTACTTAGTAAGTTGTTTCGTTTTCCACATTCTCATCCCTTTATGTTGGCTTTAGTTCCCTTTTTTGAGGAAATATGTTCTTATCATTATTTTGAGGAAATATATCTTGAAGTTAATCACCTATGTGCGAATTTTCACAACTTATGTTCTGTTTTAGTTTCGTTGCTTGTTATGAATTTATTCTCACAGAATCCAGACACGCCTTCAGTGCGAGGCCCAGGTTTCTGCCCACAGTTGCAACCACAGACACAGGAAGTACTGGTGCCAGTGGGTATTCCTCGAGAAATCCAGGTGCCTGCCTCCAACTTGCCAAACGCAACCCAGGTGAAACACAATTTGCTGGTTTATCTTTAAGACAAGTGCCAAACTGGCATTCCAATGTCACGCCAAATCAAATATTAGGATTCACTCAGACTGGTATTGTACTCAAGTCACCAAATATCGAGTCCGAGTCCGAGTCACGTCCTCTAAGTTCGAGTGCTGATTCATGCAGGCCAAGTCCGAGTCCGGGTCACGATCGAGTCACCTTTAAGTACTTGAAGTACTACATTGTTAATATGTTTATTGGAAATCAATTTTGAGGCATGCCTACTGCCAAAACCTCACAGTGTAAATCTTTCAAATTTAAGTCAGATTTTTTTCTCTAATTAACTGGAAGTACATGTATATCATGTCAAGTGAGATTTGAGGCTTTGCATGGTGGAGATACTAAATAATGAAAGGTTTGCGGAAACACCATGTGCGAATAATTTCTCAACTAAGAGAGTGGTTCTGAATACCTCTGGTTCTCTTCAGAACCATTCTCTTAGTTGAGATATATCATGTCAAATAAACAAACCATTGGATAAGCCATTGAAGTCGATTTATATACATGACCTGTTTGCTTGTCTCCCTTTATTTTCATAAATTAAGGGTTAATGTTCGCATGTGTACATGAGAACACCAGCTGATCGCGTCCGAGTTTACATGTCAACAATTACATGTGTACCAGTGGTGACCGAGTTGCTTCATACAACACTATACTTTCGAGTTACGGAAAATGGTACTCGAGTCGGCCTTGAATCTGACTCCAAGTCACGAGTCACTCAACTGTGGAGCAACTCATATCAAACCAAAAGAGTTATGTAATTGTTATTGTCACCTTGCAGGTGACTGAGGATTACCAGTGTTTGTTGTTGGTGGAGGGTACCAGGCAAATTGTCTCAGCATCTGTGATACAGCCAGGCGTCATTCAGTGCCACAGCCAGATGGTGAGATTACATAGTATCTTCTTGCCTCATTTTTCTAAAAGAAAGATTGCATCCATTTAGGTGATGCTAAGGTTACTTTAAATTCTGAGGGGGTGGCCAAGTTGTTATGGTTTGTGACTCATGATCAGAGGGTCAGGGTCTTAAATCCAGCTGCTGGTCATATATATGATGTGTCCTTGGGCAAGCCACTTAACCCCTTTTGCCTCTCTCCACCCAGGTGTATAAAATGGGTACTGGCATTATAGCCAGTTATGGTCCAGGGGGTATAGAAATATTCTCAATCGTCAGTCTTGTCAAGTAAACTGGGGATAAGTGCTGGCCTGATGGGCCATATTGACATGTGACATACTTTACTTTCTTTATTTTACTTACCTTTGCTCCTCAAAAACTATAGAAGGTATTGTCACCTGTAACGCACGACTGCGTGTCTTGAGTGTTTTTGCTGTACTTTCTTGTCAGTACTCTTATGCAGCGAATGATCGAGAGATGGAAGTGCAGTTGAGCATAAGCTGGAACGTTGACAGACAGCTGGATGACAGTACCGGCTTCACGGGTGAGCGCACAAAATTGCTCCATGTGTTCATTAGTCATTACACGGCATGCATTTTATATGATCCAAAAGCGTGAATGGTGTGGTGGGGTAGTATTAAAATCTGGTTTAAGGTCCACCCCTTGTTCCCCAATACCTATGTTCTTCAATACCTATATGTTCCCAAATCCTAAAGGTTAGGGTTGGGGTTAGGGTAATCGTTATGGGGAACATATGTATTGGGAAACATAGGTATTGCGGATTCACATAGGTATGCACGCCCATTATCAACGACAGGTTTTAAACAAGACATAATACCAGACTGTTGTTCGCAATCGTAAATATTGTTTTGAGTCAAAACTTTAAAAAAGGGAGTAAAAAGGACAAATATCGGAGCTTTGTTCAGGAATTTAACGCTATATTGCTATAAATGTTCGGCGGTCATTTCTATGAACAGAGCGGGTGATTGCCGGTCCCCCTTCTCCCCCTCGAAAAAATACATCCTCAAAAATCATTTGACGTTTTATTGATAAGCTAAGCTGCTGGACCAGTGTGTAACCATTTCCTGATCAACTTTAAACGCTGTAGGGTTATGGGATCGTAAAAAAGTGTAACTTGTTCCTGATCATGTACATGTAAGTGCCTTGTCTTGAACAGTATACGCAGAATGAACGATGGAAGAATGTACTTTAATTTACTCATGAAACCGATATTTTCGGAAATTTTGTTTTCTAATGGGATATCGCCTCAAACCGATGTGGGTCCACCCTCAATCCATGTTATATTTATATAACATGGTTTGAGGGTGGACATCGTTATAGCTCCCTGAGGTATTAAAAGTTGACAAACTAGTTCCAGAGGCGAAGCCGAGGGAACTAGTTTGTCATCTTCCGGATGCAAAATCCATCTCCCGGATGTAAAATTCCATAAAATTTTGTTTGTAGCCATTATATCAGTAAGAACTAACTGGAGAATATTGTGGACAATAAATAGGCCTCCTTTACTAGAAAAAAAGGTTGTCCACAATGCTGTATAAAATCTGAGGAATATACTGTACAGCAAACGAACATTTCGGGAAAATACGGCAACTGAACTTAAAAAAACTAATAATCAGCCTGTAGTGCGAATGTCACATACCTAATTTCGTGGGGTCTATATTGATGTAATTCAAGTTGTTTTTGATATTTAAAAAACCCCATAAATGTACATTTTTACAAGTTAAAAGACAATCTGTTAGCTTTTTAATCGCATTCTGTCAAATATTTTGCATTTATCTGTCATGTTATCCCAAACTGAACACGTGGTGTTTTAATATGAAAGTGGGTTAATATTCGAACGCCTCAAAATATTGTCACAATGACTGCGTCTCAAGTTTGACGTAAATTTCAGTGGAAGTATTTAGTGCACAGGCATTGGCTCATATGCCATTCAAAATGTGATAACAAAAATGAGGTCTATAGATTTACTGAAGTCTCCTCTCCATGCACCTTGATCTTTACAGTGACACTCTACAAGTGCGATGTGGATCGACAGGACTGTAGTCGCTGTCTGTCCAACGAAACAGCGAGACCTGAGCTGGAGTGCCGATGGTGTGGTAGTCAGTGCGCATTCAGAGATGATGCTATGTGTAGCAGTGGAGCCCACGACCCCAGTAACCCCTGCCCTGCACCTGCTCTACAGAAGGTTACATTCAATTCTATCAATTGTTTTCTATGTTTAACCATCAAACAATGTGTTTAATAGCTCCATGGTTTAATTGTACCACCGCAAACCACCCTGCCTGTTACTCCCTGTACTTCGCCCCAGACTACCTCACCGGTTACTCCCTGTACCGCCCCAACCCGCCTCGCCTGTTACTCCCTGTACCGACCCAATCCGCCCTGCCTATACATAGTATAGATGCTAGTAGGTTAAATTTGGATCTGATTTGATACAATGACAACAAACTGATATGATATGTGCATCAAGGAGATGAACATTTTATATCTGTAGATGTAAATCAAGTAGTTAAAAAGGTTTACCTTTCGGGTAAGTTTTGTTGACAACATTTGTCATACATATATTTGATTTTTTGAATTTCACAGGTTGAGCCTGCAACGGGACCAATAGAAGGCAACACCATCATCGAAATTACAGGAACCAACATTGGCCGAAGATTTGAAGACGTCCGCAGCGTGATGATCGGTCAACAGTCATGTGATCTGACTGGGTTCGGTGACCAGTACATCACTGGACGAAGGTATCTGATTGGTTTGAATTTGTACCTGACAAAAATGAGCTGTTACATGTTTAAACCACAGTCATTTGAACCACAGTGATTTGCTAGTGACCGGCGCATTCAAATTGTCCTCCAGATACTGTGCGCCTTATAAATTCTCAGTAGTTCATTAAATACATTTACATTAACTTGAGTAGTTCTTTATCAAATGGTCATCGCTGGCAACGTTTGCGTTGTTTGCATACAATTAATGGAACGTAACCCTGACTTAATCCAAATCCGTTCATTACAGTGTACGTTGTAGGACTACAGCAATGAGCCTAGGTGATTCTCAACCTATCACAATCTCCGTCGCCCCTGTTGCGCCTCCAGACAGCACGGACTTGACAAGCACAGGGGACGTTATGTTCACTTATACGGTAAGTTTGGATAAATAACCCGTATAACTTCCTGTACCGTCCCAAACTGCCCGAGCCTCTATGGTTGTATGGATTCATCAATGCATAATATTATGAAGTGCAACACACACATACTGGGTCAGAGGACAGCCTTTGAAAAGTGTTGGTTAAATGTTCAAACATTTGAATTGGTACATGAACGTTTTGCCTAATTAAATCTGGATCCCTTGACCCTTGCTATGTGACACATGTACAAGCACCCCATGAACAAAAATATTGAAAAAATGGGTAACTGCCAACATAAGACAGGATAGCTCAGTCGGTCGAGCATGAGAACAACATTCTGAAGGTGAACGATTCAAATCTGAATTCTCAATTTTATCCTTCAGCTGAACATTCCGTTTAAAGTATGGGCTTATTCAATTTCCCCCTTGTTTGATGAGCACGTGACCTTTTTTTTGGTATGTCAAACATTTTTCAAAACATTTTTAAAATTTAGTTGTTTTGTTGACAGGATCCTATGATTACTAGCTTCAGTCCGAGTGTTGGTCCCGCCGATGGTGGTACAGTGGTCACCATCGTAGGAACGGACCTAAACACAGGCAGGGACATCCAAGCAATGGTTGCAGACGACGTGACTTGTCGAATCAACAGGGAAAGGTGAGGCTTTGGAGGTTGACAAACCCCCGCCTTTGTCTCCAGTTTGGTCTTCATCTCAAGCCCAAGAGTCTTGTGAATCCTGCTAGGTTCAAATCCGGTGAAAATACATCCATTGGCCTCGTGAGACAAAATCTGGCGTCTATATAGCAGGAAACAACCCAATAGTTCACTGGCGTCTGTCAAGTCAGGGGACGCCGCGCTGGAGCCTGACTGAAGTTGAAGACGGGGACAAATTAGCCAAGAATGAGTAAACTCTAATAGCTTTGCCAAATTCCCAGCAAAACAAAAGCTTTGCCTTCTCGAGACTGCTTCGTATTCATTGTAAAGACGGCTTAAAAGAGGCGTTTTGTTAACAGAGCCCATGCATGCATCACTTCATTCCTTTTTAACAAGCTGTTTGGACTAGCGAACATTTTTAGTGTTTTGCAAATTTGTTTCTTGGCCGTTGAAACACCTCAGATGTTTTAAAATTGTCGTATTCCATTGTAATGTTATTTTAAAATCTTGTTTCCCTTAGTCTAAGCAAGGAGGCAGTGGTGTGTCGCACCACAAATTCTTACGTGGGCGATGCAGGGAGGGTCTTCTTGACATTTGACAGTGCTCAGAGACGATCAGAAGCAGATTTCACCTATAAACCCAACCCAAATATCACTGATATCAACCCACGAAGGAGTGTCATGTCGTAAGTGCGATAAGTGTGTTTTAGTCAGACTTATTTGGTACACATGATGGTATACAATGTACACCTAAAACATTCTGAAGCCCTCAGACAACATTTGAACAACCCAGTCAACCCCAGAAAACTCAGTGGCCTAGTGGTATGACATCTGCACCACTAAGCAGGAGGTCGTGGGTTCAAGTCCCACTTGAGCAAGCTTGTGATTTTTTCTTGGAAGTCCTCTGTAAACACCGAGTATAGAGTGTTTATGACACACGTCGGCGAAGGACAAAAACAGATATAAGATACTGATTTTGTTTGTGCACAGGGGTGGCCGAACAGTGTATGTGACTGGTCGTAACTTCCTACAGATACAGACCCCACAGATAATCAGCACACTGGAAACGGATGGCGACACAACCTTGACATTTCAGAAGGTAAAGTTGTATTCCATTTGCTACAGTTATGCGTTGACAATCGGAAACCACGGACTCTGAGGCAGTTTGGCCTTGAGATTTCTGACTGATGGATCTTGCTACACTGAGCAGGCTTGTCATTTTAACAGATGTTGTATGGTGTTTGGTTTAGCAGTGTTTCTAGGTTTGGGTTAACTTTCCAAAATGCCCTCTTTTGTTTTAGTTGCTTTGTTTTATTCCGCCTTCGTAGCCATGCCAAGCTATCAGTGACACCAACATGACCTGTGAGACTCCAGACTTAAGCTCAGCCCTCAGCGACGAAGTCAGGCTTAGTGGCCGCAGCAAGCGCCAAACAGCGCCCTCACCCATCATAGGTTTCATCATGGCAGGCGTGGCCAGTCTGCTGAGGTGGTCAGAGAACCAAGCGCCCCCAGGCTTCCAGTTTGATTTCGTGCCGGACCCTGTCTTTGATCTCTTCATAGGAGAGGGTAACATCCTTGAGCTGGATGGCACCAAGATCACAATAAGGGTAGGTACAACCTTAATTTATTTGCGACGACGACGACCGAATTTCATGGCTCCGCTACAGCCTACGGCGCTTAAGATATCACTTATACCACAGAAATGTTGTGCTATTTCCGTAAACACAGGATTCCTAGTTGGAGATCCTTTTGCATAAGCCAAACTTTGTTGCTAGTCCTTGAGATATGATAACTATCAGTGCCAAATTTTCTGCTGTAGTTACTGGGGGAACACTTACGTATTTTAAACGGTGACTCAGTTTAATGAAAAAGTTTTAATACTTAAAAATATACCCTCATCAAAATGAGTAAAACATTTATGTGTGAGTGGTTAGGTTCTCCCAACATTGTTCTCTTCTTGTTGTCATGATAACTGACCGCATCCAGGGAAGTGACCTAAATAATGCGCAGACTTCGACGGAGGTGCGAGTGTTTATCGGCACTCAGAAATGTAGCGTTGAAGTCTTTGACAGCTCCATCTTGACATGTGAGGCTCCAGAGCTGGAACCAGAGCCCCTAGACTATCAGGGGAACCGGACCAGCGTAGAACTGCCTGCTGTATATGTGAGTACATGTCTATTGTTTAGTCCATTAGCACATGTACTACACTGATCCCTGATGAAAAAACCATACTTTGCTTGGGTGGATTGGGGCAGTAAACGGACTAACTGGTTAAGTGAAGTACCTGCTGCTACACATGTATATCACAAATTAGAATGACGCTATACTCATAATATATTGGTTTCCAAATTTTAATAAACTCCCCCAATACACTTCACTATTTGCAAATTTTGTTGGTCAAGTGGATGGACAGTTAGTGAGCAAGGGTTAACAATAGGACTGTTTTTCCATTTCTACCACTGAGGAAGTTGATATGTATGGACTTCATATTGGTCAGTCATTATTGGCCCATACAGCAGGGGGGCGCAGACATCTTGGAGCTTCTTATGTTGCCCTTGTCTAGTTCTCAGTCCTATTTAATACTACGTGGTTGAAGAGTCTGGAGTGTTGATAACACATTGCAACCGATGCAAACTAGTGTACGTACTTGTGCAAATGGATAGATGTTTTCAGCAGCTCATATAATCAATCCCACGGCTATACCAAGCCAATCTTAGTAGTTGATAGAGCGCGTGAGACTGTGAGGAGCAAGCTGCTGAGGGAGAGGACCACAAGCTTAACTTCAAGTGGAAGGTTGACATGGTCCGCCTGCCTCCCTACCATAACTCACTCATTCCTCATGTGCAGCGCGCCAACCACCGTCTGGCCGGCCAGCTGCAGGCGTGCTGCTGACACTAATTTTGAGGCTCCCAACCGTATGATGAGGGTCTATAGGGTACGTGGCTGAAGACAGTTGAAGGGGTACTGGAGCCTGTCTGGTCAATTGGCCCTATCTTGCACCCATCACTCGTAGATCCGTTGGACACTGATGCTGCTGAAAATGAAGGGGGCCAGCAAGAGAGCGAAGTAGCAAGCGGTATAGGAGGCTATTAGTCAGGTGGCATATGGTCGGAATCGTGACCGACTGGTCCAAAGCACCAAACTTGGCAGATAGATTCTTATAGACCTAGAGAAGATATTAAGAAGGGGTGACACCTGAAATTCTTTTGGGAAGGGGGCCTAATTTGCATAAATCGTTAATCCCTGCCGTGTAATATATTTTCCCCATATTTGGGTATATTTTTATTTTTTTTATTTTTTTGAAAAGTGTATTTTGGTGATTCTACTTGCATATTCTTACTTCAATAACATTTTGTAAAGCATGTAAGTGACTGAATAATTAAGAGGACATAGTAAATCACCAAAATGACTACTATTTTACCCAAAAGTTACGCGCATTTACCTTTTCCTCAGATATCATCAACTAGTCTCGCCAAACGTGGGTATTGATGAGCTTCAAATTCACAAAGGTACTTACTGACATAGTTAACCTAACAAAAATAAGTGGGAAATCATGTGAAAATTGATATCATCTTGATGTTTGGCCCAAAAGACCAAACAAGGGGAGAAAATGTGGTGTCCGTAAATTGGGCTACTACGGGAAGGGTAACGTGGGGACTTGAACAAGTTCAACAAAATCCCCCCAAATTAGAGATTATTGTTGTTTACAATAATTTTGTCTAAGCCAAAACGTTTTCTCAACAATAATTTTGGGAATTTCCTTGAACTTGTTCCAGTCTTCCATGTTAGGCAACCCTTCACCTTACTTGTTAGCCCAATTTATATAAAAATATACCCAAATATTGGAATAAATATATTACACGGCAGGGATTAACGATTTATGCAAATTAGGCACCCTTCCCAAAAGAATTTCGGGTGTCACCCCTTCTAAATATCTTCTCTAGGTCTATAAGAATCTATCTGCCAAGTTTGGTGCTTTGGACCAGTCGGTCACGATCTTGACGAAAATTAGATCTAAGCCACCTGACTATATGGAGATTGACCTAGATGATGTTTTCATGAATTCTGAGACTCTGTCCCTTAGACTTCGCCACAACGTCACTTGTTATAAATAGCTCAATAGTCGTTCTGTAATGACCGATTCAGGAGTTACTGAAGTAATAATGTTCATCACTTGCAACGAGGTCTGTGCGCTAAGTTGTACTTATTTCTCCCGTCCTATGACCTTGAAGCTGACCTTAACACAATAATGAAGACCTCGACATCTTATGACCTACAAGATCAAGATTAATCATAATTGTTGACATAAAAATGTCTTTCGGTTAATAAGAAAAATTCTGAACAATAAGCTTTTATTACCATATCAATGGGAATTGGACACTTTGTCGGAAAATGAAAACAAAGAATTATTTTTTAAAATAAAATGCCCTTGACCCCCTGTCTTTGGAGCCAGAAAATTACCTCCGATTACTTCTAAACCCCCATCAATCGATTCCATGACCCTAAAAGATCAATATAACGGTGAGTTTTTTAACCACTGGCCATATTTTAAGATTGTCATAATATTGGTTCAATATCCAAAACTTAGGGGGTGGGGTCAAATATTGAGACATAACTCCAAAATAAAATGCCACATGTTTTTTTTTATTAAATGGATTTGGTAGTTGGGATAATGTGGAAAATTTGTAAGGAAATAAGTAGACCTCAATCACCATATCTATGGGAGCAACGGTACAAAATAATGCCGGTGGGAAAATGAAAATGACGCATTTTTTTTTACCAAGATAACCTTGACTTTCGCCTAACACGTGACCTTGACCTCCCGCTATTATAGAAACCTCGAAAATCGATTCAGCATCCCAAAAACCCATCATTTTGACACTAAGATGATCAAAATCGGCTCATTAGTCACTGACATATGACACTTAGTGTTTTAATTATTCGCACGGCGGCCATCTTGGAAATATGCAAATTAGGGCATCATGGGACATTTTTGTTCGCTGGCAACATCAACATTCTTTAATCCGATGTCCTAGGGATTCTAAAAAATCATCTTGGAATTTTATTTTAGGGGGTGCATGGGAACCCATTTTTCCTGCCGTACTAACAATTACGAAATTCCAGAGGTCAGAAGTTCATGTCCTACTCCAGTCTTTTTCGTTCGTTATCGTTGCATCGCAGGTACTACACAGCCGACACTATTTTTTCATCGGCTACGTCAGATACATTACCAGTGTAGAGATCGCTTTGTACATAGGCATCGCTGCCGCGGCCGTAGCGCTGGCTCTCGTGGCACTGGCTCTCTTCCTATATCGTAAGCTGAGGGGCAAACAGAAGGAGATCGGAGCCATCTTGATAAAGATGGAGAAAGTAGAGCAAGCGGAGGATCTAAGAATGGGTGAGTTACTGTGACTTCATTTGTTTTTTCTTGAGTTTCTGTAACTCTTATTATATAAGGACTCCTACATTGGCTAGGAATGATGCTAGCCTTTCACATCAATGTTTGAGTTGACAACACTTTTTTTTGTGTAGCCTGGTGTGGATTAAGAGCGATAATTCTTAGAGGAAGGGCTAGTTGGCTATTTCTGACCGGATATTTCGAAACGGATTTTTGTTTTCGTTAAGATTTCTTTTTTGCTTTTTCGCAACTTCTGCGGAACAGCCTATGTTTTTCTCCTGATTGTTCGGATTTTCCGCAGCGTTGCAGAAAAATCTTTGCTATTGTTTTCCATTTTTTCTTAGGCCATCTATCCCAAATACCATAGACTTTTTACTGGTCTTTTCTGGAGGCCTCTTTGGCCATTGAACTAAGTCATGTGCAGATGAAACTTAACATAGACATGCCATTAAAGCGATAGTAAAGTTTGTGTCTGGACAAGTGACATCATGATGACGTGTCATGTGATGACAACATAAAGGTGTAAAGGTGTATTTTAATGGCCTATATCTGCAGAACTACGAGGTCGATTGTGTTGAAACTTTTCATGCTCGTAATTATGGAGAAATGTTTTATAGAGGAAAATTGAGGTACAAAAACGTCATCATGACGACATTATGTGATTTATAAACGTTTATGTAGATTATCCATTTAAAAAAGAAGATTATCGCAATATCTCACGAACGCCAAAAAAATGGCTAACTTTTGTCCACCAGTGAAGCACAATATCATTGTCCCTATCATCATTTTTCTAGTGACCTAACCTATCACAGTGCTGATTCTGGCCTCTTTCATAGAGACAATGACAATGTGCAATAAAACTAATATCGTTTGGTAAAGGATACGTCCTGGCCTTTTCCCCTGTAGTTTCCTCTTTCTGCAATATTCAGTAAATTTCTGACAATTTACATTTAAAATTGGATTTATTTTATTTTGAGACACCTTATATAATAGGTCTGATTGGGTTGTAACGTGGTGTTTACCCGTACCGGGATTTGTTATAGATGTAAATTAATGTGACGTCATGATGAAATGTCATGTGATGTCATATTCAAATGCCTTTATCTAGGGATCTATATGTCCGATATGGTTGTAACTTGTTATGTACCTAGATCGGGGTTAATATAGACATAAATTGCCTTCACGATGAAGTCATCACATGTCATGTGACCGACTGACCGACTATAGCTGAGGTAAGTCAAGACTTTCGGATACAGCTCGATTAGGCAAGTCTTGTTTGTTTCACTTACGCGATTTTTCTTCAGATTTACAAACTAAGGAAAGGAAGGACAAAATATCAGGAGTTATAGCCAAGACGTTGTACTTGAAATGAAAAACAAAAAAATGGTTTTTTATGATCAGCCATTTTGTACATAAATGTTCTACTCGTTTAAATTAAATTATAAACTTATTACTGCCCTTGTCTACCAGGTCTATATGTTGTGTAATTCAACTGTGCAACATGCAATAAAAAGTTCAGTGTTGTTTTGTACAACGTACAATCTCACACGGAAGTCATTTTAAAATATAAAAAAATATGACGAATTAAACTAAACAGTGACATCCTGAAAAGGCCACTTCGTGTGATATTTTGTTTTCGTGGATTTGTTTTTCAGAAATGAAACCGGAATCATATCTCATAAAGAAAAAAATATGTATCTTATTTCATTTCAATGTGGATATTTAATTCGAAGCTTTTTCCTCTTTCTTCTGTACTGTGTGTTCCAAGCTACTGAACATTTAGTGAGAAATTACAATGCGAAGGTGCTATTAACAGAAAAAGAGTTTAATTAAATTAAATAGCGCCCTCCATTGTGTCCGCAATATCTCAAAAAGATTGTCTTAAATAAACAGTATTAAATCTGAAACATGTTCTTACACACAGAAAATACGACGTCTGAGTCGGATGGGCAGCAACTGGAGCTCCCGACATCGGCAGGGACGAGCGCCGCCAACGTCCATCATCTTCATCCGGGAATTGGGGCCGAGGACGCACAGATCAAGTTCAGCCAGTTACAAATGGGGGATAAACTCGGGCAGGGTAAACATATTAGGAACACCAACGGGGCATGCTTCCGATCCCACCACTCAGAAGTCGATTTTTTAAAACTGTTAACCGGGAGTGAAGAAATGTACCGTGTATAGATCGATGCTGTTGTTTACCCACCTTCTTCTCTTTACGGGTATGCTTGGAGTAGCTCTATATCATAGAAAGGAAAGAAAAAAGGGAAAAAAGCACCCCAAGCCTCAAAAAAGTGAGTCTCCCCCCCCCCCGCTTTTCGATTTTGCCGTTGTGCAGCTACGTCTACAAATTTGGGTGCATCAACTGCTGAATTGGCGCAGGACATAGCAATCATTTGATGGAAAGGATACAAATTATCATGTTTTTCATTTCCCTATTTTTCATTGTTTACTAATGCATGTAATTAAATACACCACTATTGACCCCAATAACTCGCTCTTCCAGGTGCTTTTGGGACAGTTTATCGAGCCGTCTTAAACAATTGGTCATCCGGAGAACAACGCATTGTGGCCGTTAAGACGGTAGAAGGTATGTGGCAATGTATCGTCCCAATTACTCATTATTATCAAGCTGTAATTTTAGTGTTTCCAATTTGCCACATCCGAGCGGAATTCTGGTGGTAGTCCAGGCTTGGTCGGCAAGTCTTGGGCTCGTCACTGTTTGAAATCAATTGCGCTCAGTCATCCATGACTAGGATTTGAGAAACATCTTCATGGAAGCCGATGATGTAAACATACTAACAGACTAAGAGTGCTGAAGTTTACAAATTGAAAATACTTTCAAATGACCTGTTTTGATAAACCCTTTGGGTCAATTAAGTACAATGTGATGCATCTCATGTGACCGTATTCTTGGGCGAATGAGGGCGCTCTGACGGCCCCATTTCAGGGATGTAAATATACGTAAATCGATGGTATTACAAATTGCTAAAGCTCAACAATTTTATTATTTTTTCTTTAACGATTTCCGTTAAGTTACTTTACTGCTTCAAAACATGATTTTGTGTGTGTGTTGGTGCCCAGAATATGTGAATATGTATAGCGCCCTCATTCGGTTAAAAATATAACCTATTCAAACGCAGATCCAGATCCTCCCAAAGTCGTCCAATTCCTGAAGGAAGGATTGTCAATGAAGAGCTTCAATCATCCCAACGTACTGAAGTTGCTTGGCTTGACCTTTGACCGATCGGGTCAGCCACTCATTGTGATTCCCTTTATGGCAAACGGTGACCTGAAATCTTTCTTAGTGAAGCAAAAACAGGTAGATCTGTTCCCCCCTTGATTCTTAACATCCACGAGCAAAACTGCACTCTTTTAAAACTTGTACAACATTTGACCAGAAAACAAACTCACTACGTTTTTGTGTTAGTAAACCCCCACGTGACCGTGTTTAGCCAACCAGGATAAAGAATTAGCAAGACGTGAATCCAAAATCAACTTAACCCAAAGCTAAAGTCCAAAGCTAAAGTTATTTGTGTGTTATTTTCATAATTTATAGCGATTAGATCTCTAGCTTTCAATCAGAATTTCAATCTTGAAAATATTGGTTTAACATAACAATTTTGCGTTTTGGCATTTGCTTTTATTTGCGTCATTGGAACACGCTCTTCCGTTTGTCTCCTGTTTTTCTATAGAACTTGAGTCACACGCATCTGACCATGTTTGCCTATCACGTGGCCCTGGGTATGGAGTACCTCGCAGAACAACAGTTCGTCCACAGGGATTTAGCTGCGAGAAACTGCCTGTAAGATCATGAAGTTTTACCAAATAAAAGCCCCCATTATACATTAACGAGCATCACACTTTACGGTTTCTTTTCCCCTAAAAATAGCACAGTATTGATGTCAGTGAGGAAAGAGCAGTTTAGTAAGTTAAAGTTTTGGTAAATTTTCTCTCAAATCTCCTACCTTTTGACCTGAAAATTTGGTCAGTGGTCAATGTAACCACATTAAGTTGCAATATTGTTTATATATTTTTATATGATACCACAGGAGGTGTCGTGTTATAATTAAATCTACACCGTTTGTATCAGCACCTGTTAACATCGATCGGCATATTTCACAAAGTGTGCCAAAACTCCGCCATATTTTAGTTGGATACGCAGGAATTAAGCCAAATAAATCTCCTTATTCAAGGGTGGATGACAAGCTTGTCGCAAAGATAGCGGATTTCGGCTTGTCCAGAGATCTGGACGAGTCCGATTACTACACCAGCGGGGACAAACATGCCAAGTTACCCATCAAATGGATGGCACCAGAGTCAATGGAACGTAAGGTGTATGACACCAAAACGGATGTGGTAAGTCTGTACTGCTTATTACATTTTATATAGTTTTCTATTACTCATCAATATTGCTCGTTGAAAATAGTTTCATATGTGTTAAATGTTTTCATATCCTTGTTGATGAAATATTTTAAATGAAAAACAAAACAAAACAACCCGGCAGATGTATGAATATCGGCCGTAGATCGTTCTATAGGGTGTCTAAAAAACCCGAATCATCAACCCCCTTCTTTTTCACAGCTTACCTCACAAATATCGATTAGAAATAAGTGGCGATTTTTCAATTTGTCCGTAATGGATTTGGGGTGAGGGTAGTTTTGCTTTCTGTGATGTTTTAATCTTTCTTTCTTTATTTGGTTTTTTATTTTTTGCAACAACGGTCATATATTCTTTTGGAAGTAATGGTAGTCCTGAAAAGGACTCTTGGTTAACTTCTTGGATGTTTACTGTGCTGCTCTGTCTCTGCTCTCTACTTGGTAGCCTTTTTCACAAATGCAAGTTTCGGCCCGTGTTCTTATTGCGGCAGTCCAAATGTCAGTCGCCGTGGACAAAATGAACAAGCGGTACTTTCTCTGAATGTTTATCCGATCGGAAAGATTATTTTTTTTTCGGTTTTGAAAAGCAAATGAAGCATACTCTCTACGTGTGTATCGATATCGTCGATGTTTTTTTTTGACTGTGAAAAAGAGGGGGTTTGAGAGTTCATTTTTGTTCTTTAAGACCCCTGTATATTTGGCTACTGTTTGATATACAAATAGTGGGAAAAATAAACGTATGAGCGGCTCAGTTCAATTGTGAATAATAATCACGGTCCCTTCTTCAATTGCAGGCGTATAGCTTTTCCTCATTTTATTTCGGGAAATAATGACCCACTGTTCCGATGTCGTCACAGTGTTTAAAATATTGAACCAATTTACAAGAAAAAAATCTCGTCTGACTTGCCGCACTTAACAAAATGTATCCCTTTTTCAAATGTCTTCCTCTCAGTGGTCCTACGGGGTACTTCTGTGGGAGCTGTTTTCTCGTGGTCGAACGCCCTACCCTGATATTCACAACAGGGACGTGCACTCGTATCTCAAGCAAGGCCAGCGTATGAACCCACCTAGGTTTTGCCCTACAAAGATGTGAGTAACCCTACTCCTGTTCAATGCAATTTGACAATTGCCATCAAAAATGAAAGTTACAGTTCGAGTTCTAACCTTGTCAACATAATAACATCTATTTCAGGCTGGCGTTCCAGTGTCGCGATGAACCAAACTATTTCTACGATTTGAACAGTTAGGAGTGACTTCACACAAAAGCCTGCTACAGTCGTTCGAAACGACTCCAGAGTGAAAACAAAGTTTGCTCGTCTGAAATTTAAATAGCATTACACTCTGGGTCGACTTTAGTCGCTCCTGATGCTATTAGATCTGATTGACTCTAGAACACCAGTCTGAGCTGACGGTGTTTAACTTTCTTCTTGGTCTTGTCTAGATCTGCCATCATGCGACACTGCTGGCTGGACTCCGCAAAGAAGCGATGGTCCTTCGGTCAAATAGTCCAGGAGCTGGAACCACTCGTGACCCACGCGTGAAGAATTGAAGAGTGGGCCACTATAGGAAAGCCGACGGTGGTGATTACAGAAGGTACCAGCAAAGTTATAGCTCGACCGTCTGATTGTTTGCTCTTACCATTATAGCCTAGGCCTTGATAATATTTGATATGCCTTGTTATGCTTTTTATAATACGCCCATGTAGCGTATAAAGCGTAATATTACTTATCATACATACATATTAATCAAGTACCTAATGCATGAGGATGAATAAAAATACATATATATGCAAGGGTAAAATTATTAGCACCCCATATTATCCAATTGTCAAGATAGAGATTAGTATCTGCTAAATCAGTTTTTATATTATATATTAATAAATACCTTGGAGAGTTGATGGTTTCTGATTGGTCGAGACTCGATCACGTGGCCGGTCATTAACAGTGATAATGGACCGGCTTCAAAGATCAAGCGAATAAATGGCCCCTGAACCAGCATTGAGCAAGCCCCGTTCAGCCCCATGCAAGCCAATGATTGGTCAAAATATAGTAACAGTCCTGCGGTAGCTTTTAACAATTGAGCACTGCACATGCGCTCATCCCCCATCGCGTGAGACTGACGCGCGCGTACGCAACACAGTTGCTAGGGATGCGTGCGTGCGCGCGCGTAAGGAAGTTTTGAAACGACATCGTACAGCAGTGCAGTATATACTGAGGATGTTTACGACGAAAGCGTAGATCTACGATTTATTTTCTTTGAAACACTTCACCCACCGACATATTTACCTTTCCTAAACCAAGCATCTTTGTAATTCCGGACACAAGGAATGTGTAAACGAGATTTCAGCTTCCTCCATCAGGTAAAGATATGAAAACATTGTTGTAATTTGTTTCGCTACGGCAGCAGTTTCTGTTGAGTTTACGTCGTTATAGCTGTTAAGCTAAAATATGGCCCATGAACATGAACACAAAAAAGTCTGGAAATATCGCCGGAAAAAAGTCACAAAATTAGAGCATTTTAACTGTTTATTTCGTTATAAAGGTATTTATTAATGGGAATAACAGTGTGAGGATCCGGTATTCACTGCGTGATAATGACCGGGTGTGGGGGTGACCGCTGTTAATGGACCTTGACTGCGTCTCGGTCCATTAACAGCGGTCACCCCCACACCCGGTCATTATCACGCAGTGAAGACCGGCTCCTCACACTGTTATTCCCTATTATTATATTATGACATAAGGCCTACCAATCATGTAGTTTTCTTTGCCTGTCAAATTTATCCTGAATTTCAACTTGCAGTGGATATGTTAAATTAGCTATGTATTAGTTTAATAGCTAGGTATTTGAGCTGCATGGGCAACTAGACAAGTGCTATGGTACGTGATCACGTGATAGTACGTAATTGTGCTAAACATTATAGTAACTAGTGCGATGTAAAAATAACGTATGCCATTCTGTTGAACCATTGGCGAGATGCGACTTATTATTTTGTACAGGCTAGTTTTTACTAAGCGAAATTGTTTCACTTGTTACAATTTTTTGAAATGCATGGCTTTGATTGGTTTTTCTTTTAATTGTAATCAGATGTAAACTTATTGCTACACCTCTTTTGCAGTTTCTGTCATAGAGTGTCTTTGATGGCTGAAATATTTTCCGTTGTCTTTATAGGCTTTAGTCTCTAACAATCAAAAGCGGGTCCAGCTGCTGAAGTTTTTTTTTTGGAGGGGGGGGGGGGCAAGTGGCCGGCGACCGTTGCAAATTCGAGTCTATGTAAGGAAAGGGTTTGAGTATAGCACTTCAAACACGCCGTTTGGTTGCTGCGGCGGTGGACGTGGAGGCCTCTGTCAACAAGAAGAATCAAATCCATGTTGTTGATACCGACCTCCCTTGCCAAAGGGGAATCCAATCCAATTCAGTCTGGGACCAAGACTATTCATGGCGCGGGAATGCAGACGACCTTACCAGTTGCAAACGAGATGCAAAACTGGTAAACTTTTCTCAAGCCGTTACGGTCGCTCTGACTATTACCAGGATGGCGCCGGATATTCTGGACTTGTAGCCTTCACTTCATGATCGGTTTATTAACACTATACGTACAGAGTAGTATAATCCACGGCCAAGCATGGTCGAGTGGCATGCATGAACAGACTGAGGCTACTCTAATATTCCTTTAATGCAATAGCTAAATCTATGGTGAACCTAAAAGGTCATACATTATATGTATTATAATCATGAGAGAATAAAAGTGGTGTGAGAAACTGAATATCATGTAAAACGTCGAAGGTTATTTTTGGTAAAGGTATAACCAATACCTTTGTTTTATCTTCGATATATTTGCAAAATCGTTGTTTTTCGGTATGGGTTGAGGGGATGGAGTGTATAAATACTCTGTTTATGGGGGATTACTTGTCTGGGGTTTTAACTGAGTCACAAATTTCCGGTGTTTTATAGAGTTATTATATTTACATGTGTCTGTATGCTTTCAGTTGTGATCAGTTTTTATTAACGTATGGTATGTTGTTTTTAGAGTTGTAATGGTCATTTTTAATCATAGGTGTTTTTAGACTGTACATCAGGAAAGCAAATTTCATGTATCTTTATTGATTGCATGACGAATAAGATTATCTATCTATCTATCTGTCTAAAACAATAGTAAACAAAAATCTGACTTTAATCAATGCCTTTCGAGATTCGAGGTTCCATTGATAGTTTTAAGGGAAGAAAAGTTATATGTACTTCAAGATTTGCATGTCTGAACATCCGCATGGGCGGAAATCCCGGGGGGACAGGGGGACACGTCCCCCTTATGAATTTGGTAAAACGGGGGGACACAATGTCGAATGTCCCCTCCATGTTTTCATGTGTAAGTATGGGTGGGTGACCAACCATGGCAGAGTCTTAGGGTAAAGCCTCTTTGATACGTCGCTTTGTGGCTGAGAACCAATTTGGTTTTCTTGTCGGTTCGACCAAGCTCTTGTACACCTACCCACATACATGTGCTGTACGTGCGTGTTGGTTCATGCGGTATACGTTATACACAATGTTGCCTGCGTACGTCATATAATTTGCTACTCCTATACAAATTCGGCCCCACTCCGGCCCGCAATCGCTATGGTAGACTTGATGACACTGAGTCGTTAGACTATAGTGGTTTATGTCCGTCATCGATCAGCGCCAAAATCCGCATACCACCGCCGTTCATGCAACGTCAGCGCTACAACCGTTCATGCAGAAGTCATGTACTAACGCGCGGCATGGTCAGTCTGTGTCTAACGACTTGACTAAGACGTTTTCAAGCGAATATTCATATATGCAGCCACTGCAATGCATATGCATTACGTTTCCATAGCGAGGGCCAATAGTAGCCCATCTGGCTTACGAAGAAACACCAAATAAGGGGGTAATTATTACACTATCATTTTCAAGTTTCCATTTTATTTGGCAGTCCTGTTTTTAAAATTACAGTAAAAAAGCGTATAACATTGTAGATAATATTAGTACTTTTGCAACTGTCTTTGAATAAAAGGAGTAATATTTAAGTAATTATGGAAGTTGAAACTGTTACGAATAATTGTAAATCCCCTTCAAAAAATGAAGTGCGCGCCGACTGTAAACGTAAGCTCCTCTTGGCCCATGTGGTTTGTTGTAGTTTAACTAATCACCCTGAAAACGAACTCTTTGGACCCTCTTTTTTCGGGGACCAAACTTTTTTTTGCCCCCCCCCCCAAAAAAATTGTGTTCTGGATCCGCCCTTGCGGCGGACGCGATTAAAACCACTCATTACAGACTTGATTTCAAGTCTATCGCTATGGCTGCCATACCCCATGGCAACATTACGAGTGGAAAGTTGTCCGTTCAGCCTGTGACTTTTTGTGAGTAATATAATTTCGGGGAGAGAAAAAAAACCTGTCCCGCCACGTTCAAGGAGCGATTTCCGCCCTTGAACATCTGAGCTCAACATCATGTATGATTGTAAAGAATTAATGTCCAAACAAATTTGTGCTAAGCCATACATTTTCTCTAGATTAGGAATGCCTAATAAAGAAGTTGTGTAATTTACAAAGTACTGATATCGACAGCTCCCCTTGCAAGTGAAACACTTGGTACCATTTTCACTTGTTCATGTATTTTTTGTTTAGTTCCCCAGAATAAAATCCCGCCAATTCCTTTTTTATAGAGGATTTTTTTCACAGCGCAAAGTCTTTTAGTTGCCAGTCCAAGCGCGTGCACAAAAGAAATCTCGCGGTTCTAATGGTATTCTTTAACTCTCTTTCCTGAAGATCATAGAGCCACCATCTTCATCTTATTATTTTTTCATTACACCTCATATAAGCAAAATGAAAAAAAAAATACCTCATATAAGCAAAATGATTTCCGCTTATACGCAGCATATTGTCAGTCCAAGCACGAACAATCAATTCATTTTTCAAAGTTCAACGGGTATCTTTACCTGAAGATATTTTTCCTGAAAATATTTAAAAAGTTACCGTTTTCACCCTTTTTTACCTCTAAATAAGAACTGAAATCCTCACTTCTTGTACGGACCATTATTATCAAAACTTGACAGCACATCACGGTGTGCAGCAATGCTCGTCCAGGCAGGGGCATCACCAAGCCAGTATTTGGCCGTTCCATTGGTACGCCTTCCCCGATGCCTGTCTTCCTCGAAGCTTCAGCAGTGTGTCTAAGATGCCACAGACGCTTTCCTTTGGACTGAGTTTCCCGGCGTGTCTTTTGCCCATGTCTGTATTGACTAACCCAGGATGCATGGCCACGGCTAGGATACCATACGAAGCAAAATCGTGGGCCATGCAGACGGTCAGCATGTTGACTGCTACCTGTTATAAAGAGGTGTAAATGTGGTAGTCAATTTAAAGGATATGGTCCTAAATACTCGACTAAACTATAGTCCAACCAAATCTAATGTGAACAAAACCTCGATTCCAGCAAAGATAATCGAATAATGGTTAACCAAAATTCTCGCTCGACTCTCTCCAAGTGTATATCGTTCCTGCCATACCTTGGTCATCCTGTAGGATGCAGACTTTCCGTTTTTGGTGCTTGCGAGGCTCCCCATTACCGAAGACATGTTGACCACGGCGGCCGTTTGCATGCTCATTGTCGTGTCGTCACTCGATGTCAGCGCTGCTGCCCTTTTCAAGGCGGGCAGAAATGCCTGTGGACGATAGAAAAAGTGATAATTCACATTTGTACATACGTCTCCTCATTAGTACGGATAGAGATGGTGAAACATAATTTTATTGTCGAGGTGTTGCCTTCAAATCCCCCCATGTTTTTATACCTCTGCCATCTGTGGTCCTGGATCCTACCTGGGTAACCAACATTGGTCCGATGACATTCACGCGGTAGAGGTGCACCGAGTCTTCGCAGGTTGCTGTCTCGCAAGTGTGGCCCGAGAAGATAGCAGCATTGTTGATGAGAACAGTCAGTCCTCTCTCGCCCACCACGCCATCCACCTCTCTCACCGCTGCTGGAAAGTCGTCTTCTTTAGTGACGTCTTAAGAACCAAATAAGGTATAAAAAAATTACAGCAACAATTGAAGAAACAAAAGACAAGACAAATTCTTGCAAAAAGTCGTCAAATATTTATCTCCTTAAAAGAAATTACACTTCCAAAATTGGCACTGTATCTAGTGTAGGTAGAAACGTTTCCAACCCATCAATTCACCATGACGTCATCTAGCAATGATACAATGGGTTCAATTTACAATGTTACACACAACAAATCTAATACCATACCCATCTGTACAACTTTCACTGAAGGATTTTCCATGGCAATGCCTTGCAAATCCTGCAAGAAAATAAAAACGAAGTAATTTACAATGCATAGAATAAAGTTCATTTCAAACAATACAGCAACAACCATTAGTAGAATGCAGTGGTAGTTCGGAATGAAAATTAAAAATCATTCGGATTTTGTAACACTCCGAATGGGAATACATAAAGGTATTTAACTGTGTCAGCAGTGGCGTCACCAGACTTTTCAGTCTGGGGGGCACAGGGGGGCACCAGCATTTGATGGGGGGGGGGGGGGGCACTTAGGTGGATACGGATCGCCGTCCTGGGGGAGGGGTCTGCCCCCCTCCCCTTTGGAAAATTTTCGCATACGGAGGATGGGCTAGATGCAAAATGGTGCCACATTTGATGCTAAATTCGATCTGAAGATATCTCCAGAAATTGCTATTTTTGAGGTAATGATTTTAACAACGCGCAGAATTTTGCAGAGGATAGGGGGGCACCAGCATTTGATGGGGGGGGGGGGGGGGGCACTGGGGGGGGGGCACTAGGTTTTCCAGGGGGGGGGGGGGGCACGTGCCCCCCCCCCCCCCCCCCTGGCCCCCCCCCCCCCCCTTGGCGACGCCACTGTGTGTCAGTCAAGCTTCCACTATTTCCCTGATTTTCGCAGTTTTGGACAAAACAAAATAGCAAAGTTGGTTCCAGTGAACGCACTTGTACGTTGTATATTTCTCCCCAAAAGTCACAACCACATGTTGGTTGGACCCGGTTGGACCCTGCATTTCTTTTGCGCGCATGTCACACGCGTTCTTATTAAGTTGAAGCGCGCGTGAAATTTGAAACCCCTATCCGGTTCGTTAGTGTGACGTCATCTCAACCATGCGTACTTCACACGGTGTAGCATAGCACTAATTGAACCCGTGTCATATGAAAATCCGACTCCTATGAAAATCGGACTCCTTTTCCCTAGTATTGGTTAATCCCTCACACGAGACCAGTCACTCTCCTCATTAACATACTTACGCAAGCGCAATACTACCAACGAGTCCATATTTCATGGAGTCGGATATTCACGCTACACCGGAAGCTAACGCAACCTGAGTGTTTATCTAATGGGTGCTATCAGTGGTGCGTGCGCGTGTATGACGTTTTTACTGTAACGAACCGGATTTTGTTGATGGAGAACTCAGTGCCACCTGTGTGCGTACCGTATACCACATGCAGTTGTGCATGTTAATGGCCTCGGTTTTTGGCGTCAAATAAAAAAGTTCATACCTCAGCATTTTCTGGCGAGCGACAACACGCAAACACGTGTTGTGGTGGACTAGATAAAGCCAGAAGCTGACGGACATACTCGAGTCCGATACCTCGGCTGGCTCCCGTGACCAGAACGGAAAACATCTTACTGCCAAAAAGCTGTAGAAAAAAGGGTAAAAATCAGGCCATTGCAACAGTGGTTTCGCATTGATCAAGATCATGACATTTTGACTATACATCATAAAAAAAAAGAAACTAATCTGTCATCTAAATTTGATTATGCGTAGATTAGGCAGGGCTCGACACAAAATAAGGATGTGAGCTCACTGTTGCCAAAATGTAACTTGAATACCAATTTTTTGCGTCTTGTTTATCATACATAACACATTTTTCTGGATGTCATCTTTGGTGCTTAAAGGGAAAATACAACATTTGCAAACATCAAAAAATAAAACTACCAAATCATTTTAAAATACCTTGCTGGACTGTTAGTGAATGACAGTGTAAAGCATCCTGTAAAATCATGGCACCTGGTATACTGTCATTTTCAAGAAAAGTGGTATTTTTGTATCAATTTCCAACGCAGATCGGCCGATCAGCGTTGGAAAAAACTGGCTTTTTTTCAAATACTGGCCCCAGTTGACCATTGCACTTGTTTGCAATCGATTACACACCTATGAACGGGTACAAGCCAGTTAGACTGGTTCCCTGACCTTACAATTCCCCAATATATGTAAACTGCTCTGTTTCTTCTTAAATGGAGTCAGGGAACCAGACTACAGGAAAATGATTGTTTTTCTTGGTTTTTATAGCATTTTCGAACCCAAAACCTCAAAAAAGTCAGTGTAACTATATTTGCTTTATATTTCCAACCCCCCAATTCCATCCATTTCTGAAAATTACAGCAAAAGCAAATGATGTATAATCCCTTTAAGTAGGTCTAGGTCTACTCTATCTACCATGGGGATAACGGTTATTAAATCTTTTCGCTAAGGTAATTACAGCCCAAGGAAACTCAAAAGTGCATCAAAAATGTAACGTGAGTATTAAGGCCAAAAAAAAAAAATATTCGGTCTCTGGTCAGACCAAAGTTCCGGAATTGACGCGGCCACGCGGCTTTTTTTATTTTTTTGCTTTTTTTTCTTTTTTCTTCAAGCTTGGATTGTACAGACAAGGTGGGGTACTATTTTGCTTTTTTGGTGTTCTCATGTACATTGGTGTCCTCCATAATTTGCCTTGGTGCTTTCGATTATTTGTCTTAGTGCAATTTCCAATTCCTTGGTGCTCTTTGTTAAAAAAAAATTGAGGAGGTGCGGAAATAGAGGGCGCTGTTGGAGCTACCGCGGAACATTTTGGAAAAAAAAAGATCGACGCGCATGATTAAAATCGACGCGCGCGCTGACCAGAGACCGACTTATTTTTTTTTTTTGCCTAACCGTGGAATTGCCCAATTGTATTCTATAATACTGAGAAATAATATAATGGCTGAGACTAGTTTTGACTAACGATGTGCCAGAGTTGTAACGAGTCACTGATTTTTGTGACTCGAGTCGAGTCGAGTCATTTTAAAGAAGTGACTCGAGTCGAGTCGAGTCATTAGGTCAACAAGGTCGAGTCGAGTCGAGTCGAGTCACAGAGTGTGGTCGAGTCGAGTCGAGTCGAGTCAAGTATTTAGCTCGAGTCAATTCGAGTCACAAATATTTGAACACTAAATTACAATAAAAAGCAACAAACACAAGAGAGAAGGAATACAAGGCACCAGTCTATTACGGAAATCCAAAGACATAAAGTATGCTGTATGGTACCCAACCAACAGTTTCCATTGCTAGCTCACGTCACAGATAAGAAGATGTGAAACTTCGGTCTTATAACTGGTTTGGCTTCGGGTCTAGATTTTGTTGTTCGCTGATCGCTGACAACTTTAAAACCTAATTGCATTATACAAAACTGTTTCTGATTATTTAAAGGTGGGCCCGGCCCGTTTTTTGTGTGAAATCGGGACATGAATTTAGCCAGCGTTCCACCAAGAACTTCAAAATCGCCCGAAACCAATGATGAAACCACGGATTGAGAAATGCGTTTTAAGTCTGGTTCCGGGTTTAGCATTACATGCTATAGAACCACAAGGTGGGAGTCCGCGACACGGTGTATGTTTGTTGTTTCATTATGGAGGAAGGAAACAGACTGCCGCTGTATATAAACGTACATTATTCGCGAACATTAACGTGACGTGAACAAAAACTGGCAACGCGAACGGCGCAGCGTAAGTCATTGCAAATATTTTTCGCAAGTAAGTTTTGCTTTTATTTTGGGACTCGAGTCTTATTAGCCTTCCTCGAGTCGAGTCGAGTCATTCTGATGAGGGACTCGAGTCGAGTCGAGTCATTTGCTCGCAGTGACTCGAGTCGAGTCGAGTCATTTACCCGTCGGGACTCGAGTCGAGTCGAGTCGCCAAAAAATGTGACTCGAGTCGGACTCGAGTCGAGTCATTGACTCGAGTCATTACAACTCTGCGATGTGCAAACCCGACCCAAAACCGAAACCGACCCGACCCGAAACCGATTTCGGGTCGGGTCAGTTTGTCCATCTTTCAGTCGGGTCGGGTCGGTTTCGGTTTTGCATTTACATTTTCGGGTCGGGTTGGGTCGGTTTAGCCATCTTTAAAAAAACCCGAAATCAACCGAAATAAACCGAAACAGTTGAGATATTCAGGTGATGCAATATTATTGACATTCACTGTGACCGCAGCCCATTGTGGTGTGGCCAACGTGCGTACTATCAAGTTCCCACGGTATTCATTTCTCCAGTCGGATCGGGTGAAATAGACATATTGTACATTTTCATGATACCGCGTGGTGAGGTTTCGCAAGCGAACGGATACGCTTACACTTACGTTTAGCTATCCGTATCCGTTTTTTACTTACGTGTAGCGAGCGAGATATGCGTATCGTCTGCACGTATGACGTCATACGCCACTCACTATCCGCTAAACGTGCAGACGACACGCATATCTCGCTCGCTACACGTAAGTAAAAAACGGATACGGATAGCTAAGCGTAAGTGTAAGCGTATCCGTTCGCTTGCGAAACTTCCCTATAAGCGGAGTTACTCTCTATCAACCATATCTCGCTCGCTACACGTAAGTAAAAAACGGATACGGATAGCTAAGCGTAAGTGTAAGCGTATCCGTTCGCTTGCGAAACCTCCCTATAAGCGGAGTTACTCTCTATCAACCCACGAAGAATGAGAGAGAGAGAGAGAGAGAAACGATGGTTTTGCAAAAGGATTCATGCCTCGTGGGTAAGGGCAGGCACAAAAAGTGTTCACTTTGTCCCAGCAAGGGTTCGGGTCGGTTTTACCTTATGTTTTTGTCGGGTCGGTTCGGGTCGGTTTGAGCGAGTTAAGATCGATCGGTTTCGATTCGGATTCGGTTTAAATCTCTAATGTTTTGGGTCAGTTTGGCCTGGTCAACCCGACCCGATGCACATCATTAGTTTCATTCTACTGCCATTTCGGTCAAAAGTATACTCCAATACAAATGTATACTCCAAGACAATTCTATGTGAGAAATATTTCCTAAATTATCTTGATCTATTGTTAGGAGCCTACACCGCAAAACAGACAATTCTTAACCACTCCAGTTAACCTACGAACGAAAGCTCGATCAAGCCATATTAAAAAAGAAGTAAAACAAAAGTGTTAGTACGAAATGTAAAAACTTCACCCTGGGTGTGCAGTTTGGCCCTGCTTAAAATAAATGCATGAAAAGTGCACTTTTGGTCAGCCTCGACTCCATGGGCGCGTGCGCGTTCCTTCACTAACCCTTGGCCTTGATGAAACGTATTTCGAAAACCGCACGCCCGCGCACCCTCTCCTGCACCTTAATACGTCACATACGTTTTCATACGCTTATTAAAAAAAAAGTAATACATTTTTTTTTTTTTTTCAAAACTGCGCGATGTCTGTACGATATGGATTATGGAAGCCTCGTTTTTCCGCACCAAAAAACCTGTATCTTGTGTTGCAAAAGATATTTGCTGAATAACGCGACGTAGAAATCTCATGTTTGAAAGGATTGACTCTACAAAAACAAACTTTCAAAATTTTAAGCACTGTGCCGCGCGTTAGATACATCATATCAGTTCTTACTGCAGTCCTAATTTAAATGTGCTACTATTTGACACATTTGAATTAGATAATTCCAGAGGTTAAGATCGCGCAAGGCATGATGGGAAACAACATGGCACAGCAAGATCGTACCCATGGAAACGTTGACTTTGGTTTCAAATGTACTTGAATACTTGTCCGTCATTGCGTTTCTGTCCCTTGCGCGTAAGTTATTTCGATGTGGATTTGATTGAAAGGAGGAGGTGATGAACGTTGACATTTTGAGGAATTTTTTTTCTGGAAGTATTTTTTACAGAACTTTTTTCATAAAATATATGAACACAGCGTCCGCTCAACATATTTGCATGTGGGGGAGGGGAAGGGTCCAACGAATTTAAAGTATGGGATATCTTTCCATAGCTCCAGTATGAAATAATATATGCGCCCTCTGTTTTAATACACATCAGATGCGCGCTGACAGAAGGGAACTGAAATTATTCTCCTGCAAAGTCTGTATAATGAGCAGTTAAAGGATTAAAGGATTGTATCGCACACTGCATTGTAACCATGCAGGGGCCTTGTACTGATCGGCTTTTATGGTATAAACAGATATCCACCACGAAAAAGACAACTATTTCCGATAATGGTATATTGTGCATAAATTACACACATTATCATTGTAAAATGGCTTTATTGGATACGTTGACCCTAAAAACATGGGTTTACTTGACGCCTCGTTTGATACGATTGGACAAATTCCTGCGGAGAAATTATAAATAGATAGGGCCTAGATGTTATAATTATTTCTGATAATGGTGGGTATTAATTTGCATAATGTGCATCAACGAATTCGTTAAACATAAAAAACATAGGTTTAGATACCTCGTTTTATTCGATAAACTCCATGCGGAGATATAGATGGAAGTTAAATTTTAGATAATGGCGGATTATAATTTGCGTATTATGCATAAAATACACACACATAATCATTGTAAAATGGCTTCAATGAATTCGTTGACCTTAAAAACATGGGTTTAGACGCCTTGTTTGATACGATTGGACAAATTCCTGCGGAGAAAATAGATAGATGTTATAATTAGGCCTATTGCCAAATTTGAGAAACAATAGCGAATAGCGTGAACTCAGAAAGAACGTCGCCTGTGTAGCTAACGTTGGCTTGCTCGGTACATGTAATTGGTTGCAAATTGACGTAACAATCGGTCCCACCATAGATAGAGCTCTATATGGTCCCACTGTATACTTGCGCTTATAACGAAATAAACATACTCGTAGCTTTGTACATAAAATGTCGGTCTTTACATAAGAATTGGGCTTGAATCCTGACCTTAGTGTGAACTTCGCTAATCTTTATTATATCTAACCAGTCAGTATACCCTTTGCTGACGTACGCCCAGTTTCAAACACGTCCTTTCTCCTTACAGTGGGCCTGTAGTCGGGTACACGCTATCGCACTTGTAATAATTGTGCGGAGGCAGAGTCCATAACACATCACCGGCCCACAGACGGGTAGGCTACAGGCTGAAGGTGCAAGACAGAAATAGCAGGTAGAGAAAGGAAAAATAGACATTTGATTCAACTGGAAATTATGTTTATTATTATCACCCCGAAATTACTGACTTACTTCGGGTCGGTCGGACTAGCTGGCCAAACACTTCGAGCAAAAACGTTTGATGTCCAAACCTACAGGTTCACATACAATATGACTCAAAAGGCTACAACAATAATGCATGCTATTCTGCGGGGGACGGCGTTTAAGCACGGGTTATAATGGGGACATTCCTCCACACATAGATAGAGCAAGTGGCCCGCATGACTGCACAGCCTTTGTGTGGTAGCGGGACTGCACAAAAGCAGCAACTGTGGAACTACCCACTAGCCGTGTGCCACGGCATACCACGGCTGGCAACAGCATTCCAATGAGGATTAGCGGCCGCGGCCATGACCGCTTCCCGTGCGCATGGGGTTTTAAATGACTGTCGCACGTGGACTGCATGCATGATGTATCGAGCTCGAGCCATCGGACCATAACGGGCACAACTGTCCAGTTTACAGGTCAAAATAATAGTGACCTCGTTATTGCGATTTAGCCCCTGTAGTCCAGGCAAAATACTAGTCATTTTCAAAGTGAACCTCCCACCAATTTCAACAGAATTTTCTCACCACAGTGCATTTTCATAAGGTCCCTAGAATCAGGCGCGGTTCTAGAGCCAATATTTTTTGTTGTTGGTGGTGGTGGGGGGGGGGGGGGGGGGGGGGGGGGGGGGGCTAGCAAGGTGAATCCAGATTTTTTTTCCAGGGAAGCATGCTGAAATGTAGACCGGTTAATTATTTTCTCCGGACACTTAGGCCTCTGAAAATCAATACGTGGGGGGGGGGGGGGGGGGGGGGGGAGGGGAGGGGAGGCTCGTGTCATATTTTCTATGGGGAGCGTTCGCTCGTACCCCCCGCCCTGCAAACAGGACGCTGGGAAGGGCTGACGAATCAACGCTCTGATTGGATAGATTTTGCGTTACCTGTGACCGGCAAGGCGTCACGGCCACGACCCTGCAAGGTTTGAAACGGCCGTTAAGACTGAGTCATTCGTCATTCTTTTATTCTCATTCATAAATGCGGCGCCCTTCTTTTGGTTGAAGAGCATAATAATGTAGGAAAATCTGTAAAACTTATCTGTTTTGTAAATTTTCAACTCCCGCCAGTTGCTCAGGCTCCGTTTCTAATTCACGAAGGGTCGAAATGCATATCATTCAACGCTCAAAATTTGTCCACATGGTCCGCAATGACAAAGAAATCACATCCGGTATGGTGTGTATGCATTTCTATGGCAAACTTTTCGGATAGTATTTGCGCGCATTGGCTAACCGCGGTCTACAGCTGCAGCCAGATGTTTTATACAAAGATCATGATAAATTACCCAGAATGCCATCCCCACTTCCTTCACAAGAATCTGTGAAGCTCATCTGCCCTTCCCAGCGCCCTGTTTGCAGGGCGGGGGGTACGAGCGAATGGGGAGCGCTGAAAGAATCCCAAAATTGGGCACACTTTATTAACTAAAAGTGTACAAATGCACCCTTCTCATTTAGGTGGAGACCGTTCCCATGTGCGTCAAATTTTTACATTTTGCAAGTGCATTTTAATTTTTTTAATGGAATTTTTGGGGCTAGACAGACAATTTTTTTTTTTTTTTGGGGGGGGGGATTAAAGCCCCCCCCCAGCCCCCGTAGAACCGCTACTGCCTAGAATGACATAGTAAACAAAATTTCTAACTCAAGCTATCATCCGAAAACTAAGCTGCCTTGACGGACAAGCGGACGGACGGACGGACGGACGACGAAGGCGATGGCAACATACCTCCACCCTTTCGGTTGAGGGGTAAAAAACTGAACGTACTCCTCAGTCCGCCATCTCGTGAGTTTCACGTTCGGTAAAGACTTCTTTGGCAAAGTCGTCAGGAAGAAAGTCTGCATGACATTAAAAAAATGATGTTTTTTAAATTACAGTTGAAATATTTGATATTAAAATTGTAAAATGTTTCAATTGATGATTTGAGAAATGTGTTACAATTTTTATATTTTATCAATACATACGGTATTAACAGTTAAAACAAGCGAGAAACTCACAAATATAAATATAGATGTCCCACAATTTCCTATTAAGATGCATAAAGCATAATAGCCTAAAACAAAATGGATGAATGAGGTGAGGTGTGGTTAGGGTGTGGCATAGGGCGTGGCTGGGGGCGTGGCTAGGGCATGAACGAGTTCAAATCAATTTTAACAATTACATCGTAAACTCACAAAGTTGAGGTAAGAACTCGTAACGTAACATTTGCAATCCAATTTCATCGAGCATTAAGTCTGACTTTCTAAGAAAGGATATTAGGGCTACATGGGGGGGGGGGGGAGGGGCGTGGCAGCAGAAGGATATAATAAGTGTTGTCTCAAATGTTTCCTGACAAAACTATCAGATTAAATATAAGAAGTGCCATACTTATGTTGCTTTTTAACTTCTTAAGACCAATACGCATGATTGGAGTAAAAATGGGTTGACGAGGTATAGAGTTTCTGTGTTTTTTTTCGGGGGGGGGACAACTATTTTGCTTTAATAAACAAATTGGATTGAATGTTCATTACAGTTGAAGTATTTATTGAAGTGGTTCTCATTCCGAGTACAATATTATAAGAAGCAGAGTTTTTCGGTGCAGCAATACATTGTACTTTAAAGTGAAATCTGTCCTTGTGAGCAAGATTGGTTTTTATTACTTCACCACTCCAAAGGTTTTTTTTTAACATCACATTAAATGTTTCTCTTATCACAGGAATGTCCTTCAGAAACCAAAGAAAGTTTGACTGACCAACTGACCCATAAAACGGAAATTGACCTTTTACAAAACACACAATTTATAGCCCTTTCCCTACATAAGCTCTATTATAAAAACCCGCCCAGAAAACAACCTAAATGTATCCTGTTAACGCACACAATTTTCATGTTTTGTTTCTGTGTTTATTGGGAAAGGTTGAAAAAATGTCGCCACTACATGTTAAGTTAAATGTAATGGAGTTTGGCCGCCAAACTCAGACTTGTGACTCAGACTTGTGACTTGTTCTTAAAAAGAAGTGGTTTTATAGCTGAGAAAATAGCAAGGAAGAACCGGTTTGTGCAAGCAAGAATTCAGGGATAATCTGTTGATATTAATATCTTGTTGGGAAATTCCAAAATCATATCAAGATGATTGCCGCCGTGAATCGGAGTTTATAAATGGGAAGGAAAATGGGATTTGCTATCAGCATCAACAGGGCCGTTCCTCATTCTTTACCTTTGATGGGATGTGAATCAAATTGGTAGAGGCTCTGTATTTTTATAGGAAAATATTTTTCTCGCAAACATGGGTGACCCTACCCGGTCGAAGGGGCGTGCATTTGTATCCTTGGAATCGAACCTTGACTCCAAAATGATCCATGTCAGTATGCATGTACACTCTTAATACGACGTCGTTAAGTCACATGTGGAGTAGGCCAGACCAATAAAATGATTTTACGGCTACACATCCATGATTATTCACGAACCGGGCTAAATGTTTCCTGCAGTGTTACTGCTGGAGTACTCGTACTCGAGTACAGCTCGAGTACACGCAAGTACCCGGCACGTACTGGACTATCAGTACTCAAATTATTTGGACTCGGCCCGTACTCGATTCTTTGTGCTCGAATTTTGGCACGGACTCGTTGGTTTGGACTCGGTACTCGACTCTAGTACTCGATTCTATAGCTCATCCGATTATATAGCTCATCCTTGAACTCAACGCGATCGTGGTGGCGCAGTTGCACTCCGTATTACGGCCATAGATATAGAATAAGAAGACTAGATCGGCAGCGCGTGCATACGCCCCCATTCACGGTGCGATCATAGATATAGAACTTATTGTAAGTTCTATATCTATGGGTGCGATAAACATTGTGCGCCATTTTGTGGTCTCTCGTGAACGCGCAAAAAATTAACATAAAGTCATACGGCTAAAATTAATGTACATGTATTTGTCCTCCAGCACGTGACCTAGCTCAACGCGCGCGAAGCTATGCTCATCGAGTATGTACGCACTGCGCACACACGTGCCCTTTTCCGTTTCGGTTACGATAATTTTTTTTTCGTTTCGGTTACGATAATTTTATTTTCTGCATAACGTATAAACCTGTAAACCATTACATTCCATTTACTCAAGAGCAAATGGCTTTCAGTAAAAGCGTTTACTTACTTTTTTATTCATACAGATGTGAGTAAATGCTAAAAAAATGGTAGTAAATGCAAATGCCAGTTTATTCATACAAATTATGGTTTTATTTGTATTCTATGAAGTTTGTTGATATTAATTTTTCGCGAATAGCATTAATAAAAGCATGCAGTGTTTTTTTGCTTTATATATTTTCATTCATATATTATTTATATTTTCAAGTTAGCCCCAACCCAGCCTTGAAATATGACAAGTAAATATTTGAAGTCTGAAGCATTTCCTCTTTTTTATTCCTGTGAAGCGAAGTAAACGCTTATAGTGTAGCAAAAGCTAAAAGGTGGACACTAATTATTTTCAGATTTTAGCAAATAGTTTTTAGTAAAAGCGTTTGCTTAATTTCATTCATACAAATGCGAGTAAATGCTTAAAAATTTGTAGTAACAGCAAATGCCATGTTTTATTCATGCGAACCTGGTATTATTTGTACTTTATAACTTTGTTAATATTATTTTTTTGCAATTAACATTAATAAATACAGTAATATTTGCGCAGAATTATTTGCTTTATAATTTCAAGGTTGCCCCAACCCAGCCTTAAATATGATGTGCATATTTGAAATCTGAAGCATGTACTCCTTTTATTCATACGAAACGAAGTAAACGATTATTCATTATTTATTTATTTCTGGTAATGAAACCAAAAGTGCATGCCCATGCACTGCAGCTCGCAAGCCTGAAGAAACATGTAGAGATAAGGCAATGAGAAGAAATTACAGTTTTAGAGGTGGGAGGAAAACCCGCAGGAAAAGTCCGGGAAAACCCACGGAATCAGGTAGGGGCTGAAAACCCAATCCGCATTGTAGACCAGGATGCCGATGCACAGCGCATTGTGCGCGTAGACGGCATTGCGTTCGTCACGTTTGGCGCGCGTTTTTTTGTATCTTTCCTCCAGCGCGTAACCCTCCAGGTAAGGCTGCGCGTATGCACGCGCTGCCGATCTAGTCTTTTTTATTAAATATCTAGTTCCCGCCACTAACATCCAAATTCATAGCATTGAGGATTCGTGAATCGGGAGCCAGCCATGCCCATGCTTCGTGTGTTCGCTCGCCGCTTCATGGTTACCATTTTGGGATTTTTCTCAAGCATAATCCTTGTTCCAGGGACTATATTGTCCGTTGCCTATCACTCAAACTTTAGTTTCTGTAAAATTCCAGAGATTTCCCTGCGGGGGGGGGGGGGGGGGGGGGGCGAACCGGGAAGGAGGCGGGGGGCATTGGCGGGATTTGAAGAGCGCCCCCTATTTTGGAAGATGGTACCCCCCCCCCCCCCAATTTGATTTTACAGAGGCCAAGTGTCCGGTGAAAAAAATGTGTCGACATTTCAGCACGGATGTGCCCCCCCCCCAAAAAAAAATTCTGTATATGCTGTGGCACCGACGGAAGATGCCTTTTACTGACCAAGTGCCCCTTTTTGGTGATGCCCCCCCCCCCCCCCCGTTTGAAAACCGTTCCGTAGCCGCTGGGTGGCTGGGTCTACCCTATCACCCAACAGTGTGTGATCGCTGTTTTTACTCTGTTTGAACTTTGCTGCTGTCTCGGCAAATGTTGGTTTATAAATGGAAGACACGATCTACTTTTTAAGAGCATAATATTCAGTGCTCACATGGCTTCTCAAAAATAAAGTCAGTGCAGCAGACTTCAGTAGGGAGTTTGACGGAGCCTTAAATCTCCTTGGAGATTATGCCACATTACGCTTATCTAAAAATAAGCGTTTTATTGTCTTTCGTAGACATAATAAAATTCTGCTCTGAGGTAATGAAAAATGGTTCGTTGCTATGCACTGTATGAAATATTAATTTTCTGCATTAATTAACACATGAAAGGAAAAATGGTAAGGTCAACTGCAATCGGTTATGGCAAAAAAAACCACATAAAAATGGACCAGAATATTTGTAATAAATGCTACGTGTGATTAAAAGTAGCCTTCCGCTGGTGATCCCATGAAAAGTTCTATATGAGAAAATCAAACGCTTGCTGGATCAAAGTTTTACTATTCCCTGTGTCACAGCATGTCTGTATTCGTTTGTAAGGCCTCACCTACAAATTCTGTTTAGTTTCTGGATTTATTTGATCAATATAACAAAATCAAATTCAAACGTTTCTGTATAAAGCATTTCATCGTTTGACCAAAGGTAGCAGAAGGAAAAATCTTTTCTTTGAAATAAGAATTACGCGAACGTTTTAGTTGAATTTATTGTTTTATTGGGCACTGAATGGTGGATTTCAATTAAAGAAGAAAATGATGATCTTCTTTGACTAACTCTCCGTCTGATGATATCATTTTAAAACATTGCAAAATAATTTGTTAGTGTCCAAAAAATCTTTGTGGTAAACTGACCGAAAGTTTGGGAAACCCCCAACCACACATTTTAAGTTGACGCTAAAGGGCTACCTCTCAGGTGATGACGTCATCACGACCTTCTTGTTTAACGTCCGCCACTGAAAAATTGAATAATTTTTCGAATTTTGTAAAATGCTTCTTTTCAAAGTTATATTCATTCATTGAACTTCCGGTATACTGCATAAATTAACTGTATTTTCATCAACAACTTTACGTATTGTTACAAACAATTATTAGAGTGCATTTACTAATGACGGCATGGCATTTGCAAAATTTTATTTAAATATTTGTTGTCAATTTTTCGGCGACCGACCGACCGACACCAAAGTGATCTGTAGAAGCTCCTGCCAGAGCTTAAAAATGACGGACTGAAGTTTCCTCGGACAAATCCTTGCCGAAAATGATTTCAATTAATTAGTCTTTCTGCTTAATTATCATGAATATTAATTACAAGATCACAGTTTTTTTCGAGCATCGAATTCGAAATACACGTGGCCATCCCAGTAGGACATTAGTGTGAAACTCTGGAGAGAGAAATGGCGTTCATGAAAAGTGCAGTTCTGGTTTGTGACTGCTTACAGCCCGATAGTGCGAAGGTTCGATAGTGCGAAGGTTCTTTAATCCGAAGGGGTACGTCATTAGTCCGAAGGTTCGTTAGTCCGAAGGTTCGATAGTCAGAATGTTCGACATTCCGAAGGTTCGACAGTCCGTAGGTTCGATAGTCTGAAGGTTCGACAGCCCGAAGGGCCCATTAGTCTTGCAATACAAGAGAAACTGCCCTCTTGCTTCGCCCGTGTCGGCACCGTGACGTCACTTTCACCTCTGGGAGTGTTCCTGGGCCATGGGGCAGGCGGCGCGATTCACGGCTAGGAAGGATTCATATCCCGCTCTTGTACTTTGAGTTTCTAGAGTTCTGGATCACCTTCGCTTCACTCTCTCATCACCTCTGACCTCCACCCTCGCCGGCCTAATCCCATGCATCTTCGGCCTTTAGCTGCCGTACGGCCGGCTAGCTCTTGGCCCGTTTTCAACTCGGTACTTATCATGTTCAAAACCACGGCACAAGTTGGTTTGAGCCTCGCTTTTTCCACAAGGCCTCGGCGGTGGCCGCCTGGCGTAGCCCGTAGACTGGATTTCTTGGTGTTTTTGCCAACCGCCCTTTTTTGGTTTCTGAGCCTAGCACCCTCTAGTACTGGTGGGGCTTATTCCCAGTGGCGCACCCAGGATTTGGTTTAAAGGGGTTCAAATTTTTTTTTTTAAATTTGTTAAAAGTTTCAACAAATTTTGTCCAAAATATTTGGCCGCAGAAAAAAAGGGGCGGTCTATTTTGACGTTGGTGGCGCCACTCACACCCCAGGCGCGGATCCGGGGGGGGGGGGGTAAAAAAAAAACCCCAGCTCTGTCCAAAAAAAAAAATTATCATACAAATTCCTAAAAAATAAGTCAACCCCCGCCCCCCGTGACACCCCCAAAAATTATACTGGTATAATGTCCGCCTGTTAAAAATACGGTACACCATCCTGTAATCTAGTGTTAATAATCGCCGAATTTGAACAGCGTCCCCTATTGAAATATGGTAATAATAATAATAATAATAATAATAATAACTGTACTGTACTAACTGGTACCAGCTCCCCCCCCCCCCCCCAGTATTCGATTTTACGGAGGCCAAGTGTCCGGAGAAAAAAAGTTGTGTACATTTTCAGATTTTTTGGCTGATGAAACCCCCCCCCTGCGAAAATTCCTGGATCCGCCCCTGCACCCCTATTATACTTCTCGAAAACAGGGCACATTCATATCACCAAGGCCAACCGTTTTTCCGAACGGTGGGGAAAAAAAATCGGCGTGCCTTTTTCAAATTTATTCTCAAGTAATTTAGGCATAGGTTAAATTCAAGTTACGTGACAAATTACACTGTGACTAACACCTATTTGTTCTGATGGGGCTGGTATCCAACCGTAGTTTCTAGCGGTGGATATATACGCGGTGAATGGTTGGCAAGCGTGCCAAGATTTGGGCCCAGTGATGCCAAGCATGGCAAGGATTTGGGGCAAACGTACGTGCCCCATTTTTTTCTGGCCAATGTGCCAAAAACTGTTGGGTTAATAAAATTTGAATAAAACGAAATAAAATAGCGGCTCCAAAAAAAACTATGCCAAAAAGTCAAACCTTTGTTTCAAGATTTGTGTGTGTGTGTAGTCTGAAGATAATAGCCATTCATATGAAACACTCTTCATTTTTTTTTCTCAATATACTCTATTTGACACCCAAAAAAATAAAAAAAATGTGAACTTGGGTCAAGATCATTCTGACTCACCCTGTATAAAGAGGGTGCTACAAGTAATGAGGCATTGGTTTGAAAACACAATCAAATAACATAGATGACTTTTAAAAAGACAGACGTTTTGAATGAATTCATGGGCACTGTTAAATTTAATTTGGCAAGAGTCCCTTTATTTTGCCACAGCTATATCAATAACATATAGTAAGATTACGTCAGGAAGCGTGGGAGGATGAAAAGGAATAAGAAATAGCTAACGTTATTAATAACCAATGATTTCAAGGTTCTTTTTGAAGTATGTTCTTTCAAACACATAAACATAATAAACCTGATTTAAGAATATATTCCATCATGAGAAGCATATCTCAGCTTTTTTAACAATGAAGTTAATTTGATGTACACATGTCTGAGTATTTCACACAACTAACTTGCTCTTTTTGATTTGAAGTCCATTATAATTTCAAATAAACAGTGTTAATTTAAATACATCCTGGGCGAGAAAAAATACAATCAACAGTTGTTTTGTATTATAGAACTATTTTAGTTGTTGGGCCCCAACTTTAGTGATGGTCCCAACTATAGTTGGGACTGTCCCAATTAGAGTTGGGACAGACCCAGTAACCGGTCCCAACTATAGTTGGGACTGTCCCAATTAGAGTTGGGACAGACCCAGTAACCCGTCCCAACTATAGTTGGGACGGTTTCAACTTTAGTTGGGAAGATGCGATAGACAAGACCATATCTATTTATGATGGTATGTTACTTTGCCGTTACTTGCAAACATGCATCAAACAGCGCTGCCTAACCATAGATGCATGAAGGATGGATATTTTAATAGTGGATTTTGCCCTTAAACACGGAAAATGAAAAACCACGAACTGCCGATACAAACTATTTTTTTGGCGGGGGTGGGGGGTTCAGGCCCGTTAGGTTGTTTTTATCAGCAAATCAGTGCTGAAATGTTATATCACACAATACATGTAGTGTACAAAAAACCCTACCCCCGCTGGCTACGCCTCTGTGTCCGAGTGTTGCGGACAGGCGGACATAATATCATTATTGTTTGTATAATTGTCCAATGTTTGTTTTGTCGGAGCGGGGGGGGGGGGGGATTGTTATTTCCCCAAACTCCCCCTGGATCTACACCTGCTGAGTCACTACAACATTAAAACAGGAACATATTTCTATATAGATTTATTATACAAAACACTTCGTCGATGTGCTCACGAAGTGACAAAACCTCTATCTCTGGCAAAAGTTCATCGCGAGATTATCGCATTTGAAGTTAATCCTTTTTCAAACGTATTTTGACCACTATGCGTTGTCTAATAACTTATGCTTTGTTCTTTGCTAATTCATAGTTGTTTGTAAAAAAGACTAAAGCAATGTATTCCAGCCCTCTTTGTCTCTTCATGAGAACATTACACGCCTTTTTGCAGTACGAAAAAAAAAAAATTCGGGCGTTTTGTTAAATGTCTAATTCCTGTAATGAAGAAAGTAAACAATATTTCGCTTTGAAACTATTTTTCGATTTTCATTTTTTTTGCACTACGTGAGAACAGCGACGACATGTTAGGTCGGTGCTCGAGCTTATAAAGAACATTCGTGTTTGAAATGAACATAATTTTTCTTGAGGATTATTTGAAGAATACAAAATGTCCCCACACGTTAAATAAAGCAGCTATTCATGGATCGATTATAGATTTTTGATTTCATTATAATTTCAACACCGCTCTTAACATTCACAGTTATCATTACCCTTCAGAGTGACTGGCATTGTGAAGGCATCAATGGAAAAAAAACCTGGCTGGAACACGGACGCAGTATTGTTTAAAAAAAGGCAAAATCTTATCAAGGAAGAAGAAAATTGAACTAAAATGCCAAATTTAACCCTTTAAATTTTATCAGATCATAAGCCTTCCTGTTGGTTACCACTGTCAATCTGTTGGAGATAATAAAAGACAAAAAAATAGAAAAAACATAATTATCAAGGACTAACGATGAAGACTTTTCAGGGTATCAAACGTTTACATACTATTAAAATTGGCATTATCTTTGTTGTATATGAATTTAAAGCTCGTATTAAAAAATTTAACCATTGCTATGACGTCACACCATTATTAAAAGTGTGGTTTCGGAACTACGAATCTGTTACGCTGGTCACAAAGTGTGGATTCTGAACGAAGAATCTTTAGTAAAGTGTGGATTCGGAATTACGAATCCACACTTTGAACATATCGAACAAAGTTGTTCTCAATGATGAGCATTAATAGGACCGTTTGCGTGAAAACTTTTCCAACATAGAGGGCGCTCTTCAAAACCGATGATTATATGCTAGCTATGCATTATGTGCCCATTTTCAGGGCTAATTGTATGGGTTTTGGGGCTTGGTTTTCATATTCCTCATTTATATTAAAACCATCTATACCATTACTGGGAAATGGTTACTTCGAAGAAATAGTAAGATACTTTAAAGGGCATTTTTTTTTTCATCTCGAGGGGGCACTTTTATGTTCAAGGGAGCACATATATGACCGCAAAAGGGGCACTTGGGAAAATCTGGGGGGGGGGGGATCCCCCCCAGCCTCCCCCCCCCGAACCCCCGGTTCCGCCGCCCCTGGTTAATGACAATAATTCATTTTGACGCAATGCTTTAAGTCGAAGAATACAGTCGCAAGTGTGGATTCTTAATTTACAAATTCACTCGGTGCTTTGCGCCTCGTGAATTCTTAAATTACGAATCCAGACTTTCTTGTGTATTCTCCTTAACAGAAAGAGGTTTTCCAGCACTGGGCCTCTCGAGAAAAAATGAAGCAATGGGGGGGGGGGGGGGAGTTTGATCAATCAATAGAGATTGGCTTACCATGATTTTATTCAGTCATGTTCATTGCCAGTATTGTTGGGGTTCTGAACTTATTCTCCATGCAATCTCCGTCAAGATTCCCTCCATTGTGGGCGGCACTGGCTACTGCGAAAGTCACAATGATAAAGTTCTCCACAATCGTCTTGACTAGAGCAAGCTGAAACAAATACCAACATGGCTGTGAGTGACAGTTATATAGAAAACATTCGTTTGTATAACTCATTGCATTTACGAAATATATTACGTTCACGTCTATATTTACGCGTATCGAGGATAAGTTACTATAGGTTTTTCCGGCCAATTTCACCAAGTTTTCGTTCAATTTAACGCCTGGCTCATTCGATTTAGATTGAAATTGAAAGACCATGCAGATCGGCATTCGACAATCAAAAAGAATTATTCAATTTTACTATCGTGGCATTCTATCGCCTTTTAGCTTCACTCGTCCCTATCAAAGATGCATTCATATTAAAAGTATCGCGTTGTTCATTCACTTTCGTCTAAACCATTAGTAAGGGGTTGATCGGGCATTCGTTTTCATTAATGTTTCAAACATGTTTCACATTTTGTCAAACATCTTTTAAGACTTCATACTTATGTATTCCGTGGCGTAAATCATATGTAATGACTTCAAACCGTAGATTGACTTTCTTTCTTAAAGGTATGTGCAATGAATCTTTCTCAGGAATTCTTTTTGCGCAACTCTGTGAAATGTAAGAAAACTACACATTTGACAACACTTTTTGGGTTTATCTTATTGCAAGTGTGCACTTCTTCAAGCATTTAAAAGTTTCCTTGTTTTTCCGGACTAACGCTGTTACTGTGATGTCATTTCAGGAAAACACTGTTCAGTTTAGGGTTTTTTCTTTCAAATTATTTATCCAAAATTTGTTAATTGAAACCATTTGTGGGAAAGGGATGGTTATGGGATGGCTTACTATATACCATGTACTGACACATCATATAATCACCACATAAAGAAATTTATGACAGCAAAATATCCAAAAACTTTTTTTTGCTGAAATAGCCGTGTAACATTAATCATGCTCGAAATGCCATCACAGGTTTTCTAATGAATATATGGAACTTTGCATTAGCATAAAAACGGAGAAGGCACCAAAACACTCCCCAAAATGGAAAATAAAACTTGCTAATACGGTTAAATGTGACACAAAGATGTATTTTCAAGGTTTGCATTGAAAAGTTTGCAAGGTCCCTGTGAATATGGTAAGTGTTCGGTCATACATACGCAAGAAAACATTTTTAAAATAACGCAAGAGAAGTGTTCCCGACGGTACAACCATTTCCAAACATATTACGTGACCCGATGTCTTGCACGTCAAGAAATCGTCAACGTAAAAAAAGCCCCTTGATCAAACGTTTAAACAAGTAGAAAAGATCAACAGTGAAAAAGAAATTATCTTAGTCTCTTTCCATAATTATTTCGTTACATCTTGTTTCCCTCATATCAGTTGATTTGTAACATTGTAAATTTTACAGTCATCAAGATTTTTTGTTGGGGGGGGGTGGAATGAACCTCGGAGAAAAAAAGGAAACAAATATCGATTAAAAAATCTTACTAATTTAAATGACCAAACGATGAAAGCGATTGCCCATAAACGAATAAGAAACGAAAAGCATGGTTATACGTTATAAGCGCACATATGTTCGCTAATTTGAATGCGTCGACCGTCAAAAGGTTGCAAAGACTTAATTTCAGACTGCTACAATTTAAGTATGAAAAAGAAACCCCAATTGGACCACGTGTGCAAAACTAACGCGAAATTGAATGGCTGATAATGATAATGATTAGAAAAATTCGGAAATTCGCCGGGAAAACCTATATTTATCCAAAATTTGCTAATTGAAAACATTTGTGGGAAAGGGTGCTCACTGGCTTACTTCCATGCATACTGACACATCAAAGAATCACCAAATGAAAGAAATTTATAACAGCAAAATATCCAAAATTCTAACAACTTTTTTGTGCTTAAATAGCCATGTAATATTAATCATGCCCGGAATGCCATCACAGGTTTTCTAATGAATATGAAACTTTGCATTAGCATAAAAACGGGTAAGGCACCAAAAAATCCTTCAAAAATGAAAAATGAAATTTGCAAATAAGGTTAAATGTGACACAAAGATGTATTTTCAAGGTTTGCATTGCAAACTTACTTTGCATGGGCCCTGTGAATACAGTCAAACATGGTCAACAATACGGTCAAACATGCGCAAGAAAACATTTAAGAAATAACTCAAGAGAAATGTTCCCGATGGTACGTCAATTGCCAAACATAGGTGTTCCGATGTCTTGTACATCAAGCAATCGTCAACGTTAAAATGCCCCTTGCTCAAACGTTTAAACAAGTACAAAGATAAACAGTGAAAAAAAAAATCATCTTAGTCCCTTCAATTAATTAATTCGTAATTACATCTTGTTTCCCTCATAGGGCCTTTCAGTTAATTTGTAACATTGTACGTTTTACAGTTATCAAGTTTTGGAAGGAAGTGAACCTTGGGGAACAATAGGAAATGTATCGATTACATTTTTTACTATAGGTTTTCTCTGTCAATTTCGGCAAATGAGCAGCCAATTTAATTTTCGTGCGTTCGAATTGAAGCTATTTTGCCTCTCCAGTTGTTACTGCGTTTCAAATTCAGAATTCGGCCATTCAATTTCGTTTTGAGACATTCAAATTCCTTTAGCAAAGCTGGTTCAATTTAGCATATCGTCATTCTTTTTCGTGACACACAATCATCATTCAATTTAGCAAAGCTGGTTCGACTGGAGATTTTACTGATTTAATTTTTTTCAATTTCGTAAAGAGGCAATCAATTTCGCTTAAAGAGAATTCAAATAAGTACGACTAAAGAAATACGAATAAACAGATAAACTGTACTATGCAACTGTTTCGTATCTCCACTTTAATTCAGGCAAACCTTGTTTTCTTTATTTATGCTTCCAGTAGACTTTACATGGGGCCAATGAGGTTTTTTCTTCTTCTTTGTTTTCTTCTTCATTTTTTTTGGGGGGGGGAGGGGAAATCTTTATTGGTTAACTGACCAAGACCTAATTTTGTAATGTGTTTGAATGGGGTGTTTCTTTATGTTTTACTTTTTTTTTTATTGTTTATGTTGTTTCTTCCTCAACCATCAATCTGTTGGCGTGCCAGACATCTTGGCATATTATATGTTTGGGTATGGTTGTACCACTGCATGCACTTCACTTGGGTGATGACATCAACACTCTGGATGGCTGCTTGTTGAAGGAGATCGCACCTCCACTGCTGCATGTTCATTCCTGCTTGCTGGGCAGCCTGTCTGTCTCCGACACGTTGTTGCCACTCAGGTAACCCAAGGATGCGTTTAACTGCAGCCTTGAATGCAGAGTGTGCCATCTCCGTGCTGTTCAGGAATGGGGAGTAGGGAGGGAGGCGCTTCAGCTGGATCATTGGGTTGGCACCTTCAGGGAGTTGGGCTCGCACGTGAGGCCTCGCATTGTCGTATATGAGGTAAATGGGTTCGTCGTCTGGGAAAACTGCATCACACTCTTGAATTGTGTCCGCAAGTAACTCCTCGAATCTCTCTCGCGTCACAGTTTCGAATGCGATTCGGTGGTGCAACAAGCCTACTTCACTAGAAACAGCGAAGGTGACAATGCAATTTCTCCCTCGTTGTCTGTCGACGACTCGTCTTGCAGCGATCCCTCGTGGAGCTCTACCCTGGGAGCGTCGAGTTCAGACGTTATAACCTGTCTCGTCAATGAAGACTAGATGCGCCATAACACCATGCTGCAGGAACCACTCACCATACTGGACGCGTTGATCAAGAACTTCAGGGGAATTTCTTGCATCAGGGACGTCCTCCACTAGTTTCAGTGTAATCATCATCCCATACAAGGCCCTGGCTATGGTGGCAGTAGAAACATGGGGCTTCTCTGGCAGATGCTCACTCAAACTAGCCTTCATTTGTTGAAGTGTCAAGACGGGATTAGCGTCAAGGATGCCTTGCAGATGGTTTCGCATGTCATCATCCATCTTGCTGTGGGTTGCTCCTCCTCTTGCCAGCGTCTCTCGCCTTCCAGTCCTCAAATATGTTGCAACAATTGATCTGGCTGTGGACTTGTTGATGTTCAAATTGACCGCAAGCTCAAGGTAGTCTTGCTCGTTTCCCTCGAAGGCCTCAATCAACCTTTCTCGATCTACCTAGGCCAGCGTAGCGACCACAAGCTGCCATTTCTAGAAATATGCGTGTAAAACTGTAGCGAAAGCTCGTCTTCGAAGTACATCGGCAAAGTGACTCAAGTGCCAAAAAGTGAACCGTATTTATGCCTTCAACATTCTTAAGGAAACAAAAATTTAACAAAGCGTTTTTTAGATTGCACAAATTCCAGAAATGACTGCCCAAAAATGAATTGGAATGACTAAACACATGCCTCAAAAAGCTCCTGCGAATTTGAATGCTGCTTTGTTGGATTGTTAAATTGCATGATTATTTTGTTAAATCGAATGACGCAACAGTACATTTGACTGGTCATAAAACGAAATCGAATGACCCTTTTCAGTAGCATTTGATTTCGCGCGAAAAAGAATAGCGTAGTGGTTAAATTGGCTGCTCATTTGCCGAAATTGACCGAGAAAACCTATAATTTAAATGACCAAACGATGAAAGCGATTGCCCATAAACGAATAAGAAACGAAAGCATGGTTATACTTTACAAGCGCACAGATGTTTGCTAATTTGAATGCGTCAACCGTCAAAAGATTGCAAAGACTTAATTTAAGACTGCTACAAGTTAAGTCTTGAATACACCAAAACAAAATAGGATGCCCGAAAATGAAAACGAACATTCAGAACAAAATCTTGGCTGCCTAACCCAAAACGAAAAAGAAACCCCAATTTGACCACATGTGCAAAACTCACAGGAAATTGAATGGCTGATAATGAAACTGATTGGAAAAATTCGGAAATTCGCCGGAAAAACCTATATTATATGACCTGAAACAATATTTTTCCCTAAAAATTCCACAAAGGAAAAGGACTTGTTCCAAATTCCAGGTATCGTTATTTCCCAGAATAATGATATTGGAAAGATTTAACACTGGAATCTATAGGTTTCCAGTTAATCTGACCCATCTGAAACAGTCGTTGAATTGAATACCCGGCCCTCTCAACTATAGTTTTATCTGGACATTTATACATTTAGTCCTCAAGAGGAGCCATTCGCTTACCTAAGTGTAGCACTGACTTGATGAATACGTTCGTTAATTTCAAAAGTTATTCATTCATTCAAATTCATCGAAGCCGGTATATAATAGGTTTTCCCGGCCAATTTCACCAAGTTTTCGTTCAATTTAACGCCTGGCTCATTCGATTTAGATTGAAATTGAAAGATCACGCAGATCGGCATTCGACAATCAAAAAGAAATCATTCTATTTCACTCTCCGAGCATTCTATCGCCTTTTAGCTTCACTCGTCCCTATTAAAGATGCATTCATATTAAAAGTATCACGTTGTTCATTCAATTTCGTCCAAACCATTAGTAAGTGGTTGATCGGGCATTCGTTTTCATTAATGGGCAAACATATTTCACATTTTGTCAAACATCTTTTAAGACTTCATACGTGTTCGTATTCCTTATCGTAAATCAATTTGATGACTTGAAACCGTAGATAGATTGACTTTCTTTCTTAATTAAAGGGTATGTGCAATGAATTTTTCTCAGGAATTCTGTTTGCGCAACTCTGTGAAATTAAGAAAACTACGCATTTGACAACACTTTTTGGGTTTATCTTATTGCAAAATAATGTGCACTTCTTTAAACATTTAAAAGTTACCATGCTTTTCCGGACTAACGCTGTTACTGTGATGTCATTTCAGGAAGACACTGTTCAGTTTAGGTTTTTTCTTTCAAATTATTCATACAAAATTTGCTAATTCAAAACATTTGTGGGAAAGGGTTGGTCATTGGCTTACTGCCATGTGCTGACACATCATATAATCACAAAATAAAAAAAAAATTATGACAGCAAAATATCCAAAATTCTAGCATTTTTTGTTGTTGCTGAAATAGGCGTGTAACATTAATTATGTTCGGAATGCCATCACAGGTTTTCTAATGAATATGAAACTTTGCATTAGCATAAAAACGAAGAAGGCACTAAAAACACCCCTAAAATGGAAAATAAAACTTGCAAATAAGGTAAAATGTGTCACAAAGATGTATTTCCAAGGTTTGCACTGTAAACTTTGCATGGGCCCTGTGAATACGGTAAGTGTTCGGTCAGACATTCGCAAGAAAACATTTAAGAAATAACGCAAGAGAAGTGTTCCCGACGGTACAACCATTTCCAAACATACGTGTCCCGATGTCTTGCACGTCAGGAAATCGTCAACTTAAAAAAGCCCCTTGGTCAAACGTTTAAACAAGTATATAGAAAAGATCAGCAGTGAAAAACAAATTATCTTAGTCCCTTTCAATTCATTATTTCATTGCATCTTGTTTCCCTCATATCAGTTGATTTGTAACATTGTAAATTTTACAGTCATCAAGATTTTTTTTTTGGGGGGGGGAAATGAACCTCGGAGAAAATAGGAACAAATATCGATTCAAAAATCTTACTTATTTAAATGACCAAACGATGACAGCAATTGCCCATAAACGAATAAGAAACGAAAATCATGGTTATACGTTATAAGCGCACAGATGTTCGCTAATTTGAATGCGTCAACCGTCAAAAGGTTACAAAGACTTAATTTCAGACTGCTACAAGTCAAGTCTTGAATGCCCGAAATGCCCTTGAATGCCCGGAATAGGCTGCCCGAAAACGAAAACGAACATTCACAGCAAAATCTTGGCTGCCTAAAAATGAAATTGAATGAACCCCAAGTGAAAAAGAAACCCGAATTGGACCACATGTGCAAAGCTCAAGCGAAATTGAATGGCTGATAATGAAACTGATTAGAAAAAATCGGAAATTCGCAGGGAAAACCTATATTATAAGGTTATTAAGATTTCAGTTTTAGCAGTGGACACACATTTACTCACGTGTACGTATTCAAATTTGTGTCTGTTCTATTTACTTTCGGATTTATAGTTCAACATGATCTGAATTTACAGACTAAATAAAAAAATATAGAGATCTGTCCAAAGAATAACAAGGCAATTAGAACAAAACGTATTGTTTACACTCTAAAAACAACTTAGTCAAAATATTGACTGGTTTTCCTAGTTATTGAAAATTGACTAGGAATTTATTAAACATGCAAAGCTTCATATTTGACTAGAAAAAAGTAGTTGGGTTCGACTCCAATTTCAGTTTATTGCATAACTATTTTTCCAAAGTCAATAATACTGACTGGAAAAATTTAGTCAGATTGACTGATTTTCAGTTGCACCCAGCTGACCCTGAATGGCTAGTCAAATTTGACTGGTTTCTAGTCAAATCTGACTAATGCTTTTTTAGAGTGTACATGTCTTATTTTGGATTCATTACATTCATTTTTATTTATTTTTCAAAGTTGTCTTGATTGTCCTCCGATTCGAAACAGGCTGAGGCCTAAAACATTAATAAAAAGAGTGGCATATGAAAAATTGCAACTAAGACAAACAACAGGATTTAATGTGATTTGATTTAATAAGCGGCAAACGCAGAGAAAACCGCCCAGTAAATAGAAAAATTGTGATTTTTCTATTTTCCCGTCAAAACCTAATTGTGATTGTTAGAAATTAGATTAAAAGTAGACGGTAGAACTTCAACTGATGAAAACGTCGTCTTGAATGTATGCTGAAGAAATATAATAACTAAAGTGAAATACTAAGTGCACAAAAACGAAATTTCATGCATTATTATCATAAAACCCTTTTGGTTCTGTTGGAAAAAAATGCTTGAGTGTGAAAGGTTGTGTATGAAAATGAACAAAACTTCGTTGAAATTTGCAAATAAAATATAAGAAATAACAATAATAGCTTCTCCTGTGACAGCACTGAACTGAAACACTTCTTTTCAACAGTCTCAAGCCTTGTTTCGTGTGCAATGTTAACCGTGTCGTGTTATTATAATAATTTAAAAAAAATAGAGCAAAAAACATCGAACCTGTCCTCTCCGCCATCTCGTGAGCTTCCCGTTCGGTAAAGACGTCTTTCGCAAAGTCGTCTTGGAGAAAGTCTGCAGCACAACATAAAAAAAGAAATACTGCTGAATGCACGAAGTGCAAGCAAAGCTGGTAGCCTATACGTGATTTTCAAAATTTCAAATTTCTTTTCTGAACGAGTTTGAAAGGAAAATAATGTCCTGTGACAAATAAATTTGCTTGTTTACATTTGCAGGCCTTTGTACCGTTTGTCATTGGTCTTTCTGCAATGTGCAGAAAAGCCTTTGTTTTTGTTCTGACTTTTTTTCTTCATATTCTTGTTGGCAAAAATCCCATAGACTTTGTGCATGTTTCATTGTCCGCGGCACTTTTCACAATCAACAATCTTCAATCGTGATGAAAGTTGAAAAGGCCGTCTCCGAAACGGGCTTTCAGGGCTACGGCTACGTCTATTGTCAGCGCGTCCCCGCGTATTTTTCAATGGGCGCAGACCTAGACCTGCAATCCTGGCCAAATCTCGCTGGGCCCCCAACCCCCCGGCCCCCGTTCAATGTTGTCTCTCATTGCGCGGTGTGTGCTCCATCAGCTAGAGAGAACAACATTGACCGGGGGAGCGGGGGAGTGGGTGACCGTGGCAGGCTCAGGAAGTGTCCCAACCATTTTGGCCGGGATTGTAGCTCTAGACAGTTGATTCTGATGCTGATAATATTCTGCAGATCGATAGATTTGACCCATTTTAGCTGAAAATGTACAATCTTCCAAACGCATGTAACGTTTTTTTTTAAATTTTTTTTTTATGAAAGAGTATTTCTGATCATTAAATCACATATTGTTATATATGAAACTGAACATTATTAAATACAATTCTGCATGGACACACAAAGTGTAAACTTGAAACATCTTTAAAGGCAGAAAAGCCAGTTGCATTGTCCGTAGACAATCAAAACATCTTGTTTGTGCATATTTTCGTTTGAAGCAACAAAAGTGCTCAAAATCTAATTAACGCGAGGCGGGCGACAGGCGTCGAAGCGCGAAGCCTCGTTGTTCATGTCGCAAAGGCGCACGCGTATGAAAATTAGGTCCCGCTAGCTTAAGTAATTAGTCACTTATCATGGTTCGATTTTTTTGTTCGATATTTCATTGGAAAGCTCATAACTAATGTAATGCTAGAAAATTGTCAATTCAATTTAAAAATCTATTTTCCTGGGTGCCACACTCAAAGTGCATGTATATACCAACTTAAAAGATAATAACGAAATAACCTTCACAGATATTGAACTTGTTGACCTTTTGGAAAAAAAATTACCACTGCCAAAAGTAATCATCTAACTTAGAGATGGTGTGTAAGCACATGGTCGTTATGTAACCCAATTTTATTTGTTTAAACTTCAATTAAGATGGCATCATCAGAAATTCAGCGAAGGGAACTGAGAACTATTGAAAGTGGGAGTCCTTTATATACGGGATGAACACTTCATCATCATTAAATTAGCCGATTGAATTATAATAATACAATTTTTTTCAAGCACGACAAATACAATAGACCAACGGGGCTGTGTGAATAGTTTGAAAAATAGCTTTAGATGTCATGGGACCGTTGAGATTATGACGGAACTTTGCAGTAAATAAACTTACCGTCCCCCAGTGCGAAATTCCAGGCACATCCAACGAACATCAGGAAAACCAGGCACATGTAAACCTTCATTCTTGCTAATCTAGAAACCAAGGTAGAAAATAACAGACAGTAAGAAACGTGTCATGACATAGCTGTTTCCTTATGTTAGACGTCTTTTAACATACAATCGTGTCAGTCTTTTAACATCAATTGTGTCCGTCCTGGTTTTATTTCGCAGATTAACTCAGCTGTTGCGCGGTATTAAAGTTTCTGAAGTTTGTACAAAGGTAGCGAAATACACTGTAACATGTATATCACTGTCGTTTATACATGTAAGTCATATAAAGGGACATTTGGTGACATTTTATCGCTAATATTACAATTCATAAAACAATTCAATAACCAAGACTTTTTTCCCCAACCAACTGACGTATCAAATCTAACACGTTTAACCAAAGCTTACATTTCAGGTGGAAACAGAACTTGTAAACCAAAGCAAAATCAGGAGTTGGAAATGCACTTGCTGCTTTCAACTTGATGTCTACTGAACGAATGCGCCACAACAGCGCCGAGTACACTTCTTTATACAAGCATGGGTTCACGAGTCTGAGAAGAATTGTCTATTGCTATTTTCGTTGAAACCTACAAAAAAACCCAATCAAATTAAAGACCATCTGTCACTAGGAGCGTTGAACATCGCACACACAAAAGAGTAAATAATCCGCCCCCCAAACCCCCCCCCCACAAATACCAGATGTTAATCCGTGGACCCATTAATCATAAATTAGACTGACTACACGCATGCGCACAGGCAGTTATCACAGGCAAGATTTGATTCACCTAACTTCGACCAGAATGATCAAAAATAAGTTGTCTCATTTCATTCCTTCAACAAAGCACCTTATCCTTGTCCCTATCATCACTTGTGGATGCAACCCTGCAAATAAATTCCCATAGCCACTAGTGCTAAATGCCCATACTTCAAAATTCTTTTAAAAATACTCAAAACTCTCACAGGTATTCAAACTGCACAGAAAAATGATGATCAACATGCCATCTTTCGTTTTCTTTTCATGTTTTGGTGGGTTTACCATTGACTTTTCAAGATATTCTCACCCAAAGAAGACGACCCCTATTTTCCCAAAAGCGGACAAGTAGCCATCTTGAAAAACGACCCCTCCACAACATGGCAAAATAGTGCCGATTGTAAGCCCAATAGCATCCAAAATGCTCAGAATTGGAAGCCCCAAGTCCGGGCCAGAGGTTCATTACCATATCTCTTCAATTCCTCAATTTTATGGCTCTCAGAACTCTCTAATATAGAATATTTTGAGGTATAACTTTTATTCATGAGCTCGGCGGATGGATGTAGGCCTATTTACCGGTGTGCACCCTTGTCCATTGTGTACTAAGTTGTCACATTGCTGATTTTGACCTCTTTCATCATAGAGGCCATGTTTGCTCATTCATCCATGACGATGACGTCATGAAATTAGTATCCCTGGATCGAGGACATCCTGGCCTTTTTTCATTGTAGTTGCCTCTTTCTTAAATATTCAGTACATTTCTGATAATATACATCTAAAAATGGGTATACTTTATTTTTAGACACCCTGTACACAAATATTGACACGTGACAAACACCAGGTTTTATCTTCATCCCTTGACCCGTTTCAAAGAAAGTGGTTTTGTTTAGACTGAACGGATTCTCTCTGTATTTTTATTTACCTATTTTTTCTGGTAACTTTGAAAAAAAGATATGTCAGATGACAAAAAAACACATAAAAATAGACCAGAATATTTGAATTGAATACGTGTGGTTAAAAGTAGCCTTCCGTGGGTGATCCCATGAAAAGTTCTATTTGGGGAAAATCAAACGCTTGCTGGATCAAAGTTTTACTATTCCCTGTGTCACAGCATGTCTGTATTTGTTTATAAGGCCTCACCTACACATTCTGTTTTGTTTTCTAGATTTATTTGATCAATAAATCAAAATCAAATTCAAACGTTTCTGTTTAAACATTTCATCATTTGACCAACGGTAGCAGAAGGAAAAATCTTTTTCTTTGAAAATAAGAATCACACAAAGTAAACGTTGTTTTGAATTGACGTCACCTTGTATTTGGATGCCTATGATATTGGCATTGGTTTTGCTGGTCACTGAATGGTGGATTTCAATTAAACAAGGAAAAGATGATATCCATTGACTTACTGTCCGTCTGGTGATATCATTTCAAAATTTTGCAACATCATTTGTTAGTCTCCAAAGAATGTTTGTGGGCAACCTGATCGAAATGTTGGGAACCCCGCCCACATGCTTGACGCTAAGGGCTACCTCTCAAGTGATGACGTCATCACCACCTTCTTGTTTAACGTCCACCACTGAACATTTTAATAATTTTCGATTATTAAATGCTTCTTTTTTGCAAGTAATAATTAAATGCCTTAAATAATTATTATATTTTCTCGTCACAATGACAACTCTTTGCGGCATCGTGTGGTCTATTAGAGAAATGACAGGCTGAGTTTTCCTCAGACAAATCCTTGCTGAAAATGATTTCAATGAATTGGTCTTTCTACTTCATTGATATTAACTTCATCGATGTCTATTACTCAATAGACATCGATAAAGATAACAACACGTCTTTTGAGTTTTTCAACATGTGTTTATCTAAAAATAAATGTTTTATGGCTTTTTTGTCTGCAAAGGTATAATAAAATTCTGCTGTGAGATAACGAAAGAATGGTTAATAACTACGTTGTACGGAGCATTCCTTGTTTTGCATGAAGATATGTGGCAAAATAGGCCGTCCCCGAGATTATATTTTTACTGTACACCCAGTGTCGAAGCACGTCTGTTACGTTTAATAACGCCTCAACCACAAATTCTGCTTTGCCCTTCCAGTAACTATAGTTAAGTGTCATGAACTAATTGCTAAATGTTATGAGTATACCATCTAAAACATAACATTTTCGGTGAATTCAAGACGATGACCAATCAGCGAATTTAAGACGATCGTGTGTGAGGCAAATTCCAGCTGAATTATGTATATAGGTTTCCCCGCACATTTTAAAACTTTTTTCATTCAAATTCACAAACGGTTAACATCATTTTCGTCTCGGGAAGACTGGAGCGCGCAAATACTACAATGAATTTAGTCATTGGTCATTCCAATTGATCAATGGTCAATCAATTTCAACATTTGTCCATTCGATATCGTCAGATTTCAATGAAATTCGTCTCACCTGATGATCATCTGCATATTGTAAGGATTGAATTCGTCTTTGTTCAATAGATTTCGAGAAATGTTCGATCAAATTAATCAGACAAATGCGCACGCTGCTGTACCGGTACCATTTACAGACGTATTTGGCATGGTGTATTGCAAGACAAGAAATTGAAGGTTTAACAACCAATCCAAAGAACAAGAAGAACTGAATTGACTGTTTCTGAAAAATGTGAAAATATGAATGCATTTTTCTTTTCGTAATTATGGGCCTACTTATTTCTTGCATACAATGGAAAGTATGCATTTTCATTTGCCTGTGTATATCTTATATCTTAGAACTAAATGGATACACAAATAAGTATTGAAAAAGATTACAATAATGTGCATAATGATTATTACATGAAAAATGCTTATTTTAGGTTATAGACCTACGTTAAATAAGGAGATACTAAACAGACACAACAAAATAAAGTAATTATGTTTAAAGTAGAAATGAACAGATGAAAACGTAAACATACCGAAGATAGCATACAATCATTTGACGAATTTGAATGAAATTTATATAACATTGATTGCAAAATGACGAAATTGATTCATCTTTCGTATGTTCGGCAATTGCAGACGACGAAATTGAATTGACTTCACGAAAAAGTATGGATAAGGTATGAAAGTGTTCGAACAAAGTGCGAAAATGAGCGACTAAAGACGAAATTGAACATGGGGTATGCAAGATCATGAATTTTCAAGACGAAATTTAAGTTAACCGTTTATGAATTTGGATGAAACAAGTTTTAAAATGTGCGGGAAAACCTTTATATACAAACATATTTATTTCCTCTTCATGACAGCAATGAAGAATAGGATAAGTATCAAACAAGATATAAAGGCTACTTAGAGGTGGCAAAACCTTGAAAGCATGGCTTGTATCAGGCATGCAATTACACAAAAACAGACGAATTATTACAGAAAAACAATTATACTTCTAAGCAGTAAACAAGGTTATGAAAAAGGGTTATTATAGGCTACGGGTAGGATTGCAATTCAAAGTCCAAGGTCAGAGACACGTAGACATACAATATGTTACATTAAATAAGGTACAATTTAAGTTTGCGTATAAATATAAAAGAAACTGTGATATGACCTTGAACATCTAAGAGAGAATGGTAGATTATTCCATAATTTAGGTCCAAAGTATTATTAATGTTGTATTGAAAGGCAGATGTTCTATGTTGCGGTATGTAAGTTGGTAGACACACGAGTGTTATAATTATGTAAATTACAGTGAAGTACAAACATGTTTGATAAAAGTTTATATATTTGTACATAAATAGCGCTTATTGGTATTCATTTAGGTTTGTTAGCAACCAAACCACATGGTAGCGAATCAGACAGGAGGCACGCGTGTTCCAAAATTATTATATTTTACGTCACTATTATAGCCATGTACTTTATACTATACAAATTGTGACATCATTGTCGAAATTTATCTTTGCGCGACTTTTGAAATACACGTAACCACCCCTTTGGCGGGAAACTGTGGAGAGAAACAAAATGGCGTTCATGAAAAGCGCAGTCCTGATCCTGGTATGTGACTGTGTTACGATTCTTAAAAACTCCTGTTTTCACCTTTTATGTGATACAGCCGGCCATTCGATAACGGCTTGTTACTTTTTACACTCTGCTATCCCTCATAAGGTGGGAATGCTCCTTTTTCTTCTCACATGTTGCAAGTGTTATATGCGTAAAGTCCCTTGTTCACTCTCACAACCATAGGACTGGGCCTCAACGCACAAGTGATAAAGATGAAAGCTGATAATGTCCGTGCTATTTTTGGGTTGCACACCGAAACAAATAGATTTAACATTTTATTTGCTATTTGTTTGGCAATACAAGACAAATTGCCCTCTTGCCTTGGCCGCGCGGGTGATGTCACTTTTACCTCTGGAATTCTCCTGGGGGCAGGCGGCGCGATTCAGGGCTCCAGAGGGTCCATATCCCGCTCTTTGTACTTTGAGTTTCTAAAGTCTGGACCACCTTGGCCTCAATCTCTCATCACCTCTGACCTCCACCCTCGCCGGCCTAATCCCATGCATCTTCGGCCTTTCGCTGCCGTACGGCCGACCAGCTCTTGGGCCGTTTTCAACTGCGTGCTTGCCCTCATGTTCAAAACCACGGCAGGGGTTGGTTTGAGCCTCGCTTTTCCGCAAGGCCTCGGCGGTGCCCGCGGCGCGTTTCCAGGCGGGAGTGGGATCGGTGCCTGCCGGTCGGAGATTGGGTTTCTTGGAGTTTTTGTCAACCCCTCTTTTTTGGTTTCTGAGCCCCAGGCCTCCACTCCTACTGTGCGGTTTCCGCTCCGTTCATTGACGTTCGAAAACGGTCCGCTCCACATTTGCCGGCCGGCCCCACCCGATACCCAGGCACCGGCGGTCACGTCGAATGCGCGCGATGGGTCATTCTATAAATT